GCTGAAGTCCGCAATGGAACGGGAGCCAACGGAGGTTGAAACGACAAGTCAACTGACCCTCCGTTGACTTGCGCTTTTAGTTCCGATTTTGATGTGAACGGGCCCTGAACGTCTGTGACATACAGGTATGTAGATGAAATTGCATTGATGAAGGGGTCCTTTTATGACCCGAAATGTTGCATCACATAACATATATAAATTCTGTTCTCATTGACAAAGGTGCGTTGCCACACTGACTTTTGTATTACATTTCAAGACTCACTACCACACCATGGCAGAAAGTGCCTTTCTCTCATTTGTTTCATTGATGAAGAGGCCTATTTGAAGCCCTGAAACATTGCAATATCCCTGTGACATGGATAAATGCTTTTTTCATCGACAGCAGTGTGCTGGTGACATTTTGTTTATCTTTGGAAGGTGGCTCAGTAGTCTGTCTTATTGGCACTACAGCACCTGTAACATACGGTATATGGTTTTCTTTCTGAAAGGAGTATGCTGGCCATCTAGATTTCCTGTTGCCATGTAAAGGTGACAATATATAACCAGCGAATGTTTGCAAATGATAGTATTAATTGTAGTGAACGTCAGGCAACCATTGAAAGCATGATAAGGTAGGGCCCTAGCAGTACCATGAGGGACACATGTAAATACAACAGCACCAAGGTATTGCAAACAAGTTCTTTAAGATTTGCTTCTGCAGCCAGCTCAGTTTCCAGTGTCTAAGCAATAAAATCTCTTGACCCTACCAAGGTTATTAAAGTTAAATTTGTATTTTCTATCCAACCTGCCGAGCAAAACATATTTTACTGTTTTTTTAGCTATAATGGCCAACACTGTGTGGAATGTAACTAGAGAACACATTCTTTATCTTGGAGTTGAAGTATTTTTCTTGGTTTTTGCTTTTTCGGTAGTCAACTTTTATTCCTTTTGGTATGCTTTGGTTGAATATGTAGTACGTGACTATAATATTCTCTACACACCATCTGAGCATAAGCAAGCATAGCGAGGCACGCTTCCCTTTCTACAATAGCAAATATGAACATGTCGTGACAACAAAATTTGCTATACTTATACATCAGAGCAGGACACTTCCCAGTGGTCAGTCTATCTACACTTTTTGAACCTTCTTCAGTTGCATGGGACACATGTTCCCTGGCACCTTGCTTGCTGGCTTCCTCACAGACTGGCTCTTAAGCTTATTTCATTTGTCCATCCCTATGAAACATTAGTTGGTTTTTAGACAGATTCAACAGGGAAAATGTCAGAACATTTTCTTTAAAGGAAAATCAGGTAGCCAATATCCATTTGAACATAAAAGTGAATGTGATGGAGGCTAGACCCTTACATGATGGCTGGTGCCTCAATTATGTTGCATAATACAAAAATGTTGTCTAGTTTACTATTCATATCAGAATAGTGATAAGTATACATTTTCCATTACTTTTTTTGAACAATCACCTCTCTTCCTTACCAGTCATGTCTAGTTGAGTGCTTTCCAAAAAGGTATGTCAGGTGAAGTCAGCACATTAGTACATCAGGTTGACCAGCCTTCAGGGCCATTTCCTAAAGTGGTTTTTGCACCAACGTTTAGTTCCATGTTTTCTTGTTTTAGCTTGCAGAAGAATTATGTGTCCATATATTTGATGTAACATTACTGGAGGCTGATGTCTTGGAGATGTGTGAACAAAAACAAATAGTTTGTTTTCTTAGCCATTTGCTTCTGGCAACTCACACTTGAGAAATGCTTTACTCACACATACATACAAAATATATTGTACATATGTTCAAAGCTACATATCCATTTGTATAATTTCCCTCATAAAAATGATACATAGGCAGAACTGTTGGACATCATGGGATAAGAATTAGAAACATATTCCTGTAACTCCTGAAAAGCCAGGAAACAGTATGTTTTTGTGGCAGAGTTCTTAAAGATTGGGCAGTAAAATCCACCTCTCAGACATTTCTAGGTTTATAATGGTGGCATTTATCTGTCTCTAAGGTTTATCCTCCCAGAGTATGGCCAGCATAGAACATGATGCTGAACAAAATAAGAATTCTGTAGAGTTTGGTGGTTATTTTTTCAGAAAAAATAATGCTGAACTGTATGTATACCCTCCCATCACAGTCCTATTGTATGACACTTTGTGTATTAAACCTATTCCTTACCTGTTTTTTTTCTATCAGATTGTAACTCTGTTGTACATAAAGGCTGCAGAGAGAACTTCACTCACTGTGCAAAAGTCAAAATGAAAGTAAGTATCCTGCTAGTTTTCATTTACCACTTTTCACTTATTTAGCCTTTTTGTATCATCCATGCATAATATGCCTGATGCCCCCATTGGAAAGTTTCTCCTCACCACCTGTTCTGGTGACCACAGTAAAATAATTGTATTTTCTATTGCTTCCTGTCCAGGCCACACCTGTCCCCAGGGTAAATAGAGTGAATGTACGTAGCGGAAACACAGACAGCAATACAAAGATAAATGTAAACAATCTGTACCATACATACACCTCATTGCCAATCTGTAAAGGGGTGTTTGCCAAAGGTGGCACCCTGCAAGATCCAAAGTAAAAAGCCAGCAAACCAGACACCAGTTGAAGAGTGGAGAGCCGTACTAGAAGAACTTAATCAGAACTTTAGTCTGGCCATACCAGACTAACTAATGTTTTTTTGGGGGGAAGCGGTCCCCTTTGCGAATATGGCATACAGAATAACTACCATACAGCATGACAAAGACGAACGCTGTGCCCCGAAACATTACTTTGGTCTGATATGGAACTCCATTAAAGTCTCCACCTGGAACCTGGTGTGCTTCATTTTAATACACCCCACCCTATAAAAAACTACTAAAAACAGTTTGGTTTCATATATATATTTTAAATGGACTGTCAGGAATGAAGCACATTTTCATTTGTTATAGCACTAGAGTATTGTGCTGCATAAAACTCAGAGAAATATCTCTCTAAACTAACCCTCCCCATCACAAAAGAATGTACAAAGGAGAAGCTTTCAGTCATGTTGTGTCTGGGCTGCGAGAATCCTGGAACCCTGTGGCAATGTGTAGGCATTCAGACAGGTGTTGTCATAAATCCGTCACACCCCTGTACCTCCTGTACTCGCATGTTTTTGTGTCTGTCTGTCTAAGCCTTCTTCTGGCTATGTAGAGAATACATTACTGCTGCCAATGCTAATACAGTTGGGAAAGCATTTTGCTATATCTGATTTTCATGTGCACTTTCTCCCCTTGCAATTTTTATATGACAACCATGACAAAGAATAATTTAACCTAAATAAAGCTGTTGTGGCATCGAGATCACTTACCAGGTTCTGCTATTGGCAGATGGCAAAGATAGTGGTGATGCCTATATTCAGTGAATGGACTCCTTCATTCTATTTTCAAAAGTGTGGTAATTGCTAATGACTACATACTAATGAATTAACTGTCAACTAGGTATGGTGAATACTACTGGTTAATGCTGTATTATTTGTTTCTATAAAATGGCTTTATTCTTTCAATTGAAATGTAATACATAATGTCTTTCATCAACAAAAGGTTCTGCAGCCTAATGATACCTCCTCATTACCTGTGGTCATCATGAGGAATAAAGGTGAGTACGACTTATGTTTCATGAGTTACTGTACTTAGAATACAGGCTTAATAATTAGAAATGTATGTCATTTAAAACAGCTCATTTGTGTGGCACTGTATTATTCAAAAGCTCCCTATATTCATGAATTGATGCCTAATTAGTAAGCAGGGAAGGTTTTGTGTGTGTTCTCCCCATGAACCTTTACAGTTACATATCCATTGTGGGAAATGGTTGTTAGGAGCATATCAAACATTTTGCACATATTTGAGTGATATGCAACTGCAGCCAGCTGCTTTATTATCGGTCATGTCTATAAAGAAAGAGTGTTAAAGGATCTCTTTCCTCCATCTCCCCAAACCTGCACAGTTCATAAAATACATTGCTAGTAGATGTCCCCATACACTGTCCTACTGTGTAGGTTTCTACACATTTTATTTATCCCTTTATGTATGATGCTGGGTAAATCTTCCACCTCTTGTTGACCTTCCCTTGTTCAAGCTTAGAATGTGATAGATATCTCATAGCTACAAGAAACTGAGACATAATGTCTCCTATAAACATGATCTAAAAGCATTATCCACTTCATTTAAGTACTTGAGATTCTTATCAAAAACCTTTTATTATAACAAGTAAAATATATTGGGTTATTTATTCAAATTCTTCACTGAGATCAGTGATACCAGTCATTTTATTGTCTGCACTGAACTCGTATACTCTGCTCAATGAACACCACACACAAAAATATAGGAGTGAGCACACACAGGATTTATTTAATTGTGGAGGTAGAAGTGAACCAAATACTTCTTGCACATATGTTTTTTAAAGGAGAACTATGAGGTGAGTGCTTTTCACTCACCTCATAGTTCTAGCCTACCTAATTATAGTTATTTCTCTGTTTGGTAGCCATATAAAATATGTATGGTATATATCTTGCCATGTGTATGTTCAGCTCATTCATGATGTGGATATATTTTTCAGGCTCTCAGCCAAAGGAGAGGCCTCGCTCAGCAGTTGTGGCACCAGAAGAAGCTACCTTCTCATCTCTTAGCTTTTCAAGCAGAAGGCCGCAGACTACGATCTCTATATCCAAGAGTATCTCTACACAGAATATTGCAGGGTATGTAATGGTTAAGTCAACATATACAGTTGCAGCTACTGTGGAACTAGATTTATCTTTTTTTTTTTCTTTAAGACATTACTTAAACTAGAATTAGTTTTCCTCACGAAATATGCATCTTTAAAAAAAAATATTCTCTAGTGGTTGGTCTATACCACATGCATGTGACATGTAAGTGCTGATCTGGGAAATCTTTACAATGTTTCATTAGCCCTGGATTAATTTGTTCTGGTATCTTTTTATTCAGGGTTGGATGTGATGAAAATATTTGGAGCACCTGGAAAGTTTTGTCACAATCAACAGACTCTTTGCACAAAATCAGCAAGGTTCATGAATCTATGGAGTCCCTTGTTGACGAAGGTAAAACCCCATATATACAATGTGTATAAATGTATTTAGGACTTTCAGTGGCACCAAAGTACAATACACGTAACAGTAAAAGCTCAACATTCTGTTTTGGCATCAATACAAATTTCTATATAAAATTGCATCTCCAACCTACAACATTCACCAATCATATATTATAAATATAGCATGATATATGACCCAATTACACGGTTCGCAAAGTTGTATAATCCGTTAGTGATGGTGAAGGTCTCGACACATTTCTCAGTTAGACTATATGCTTCATCCAGAGATGGAAAAAGCATTGTCATAAGTATGCCCAGAAATGCAAACCCAAACAGTTCCCACACACAACCCCAACTTCTCTTAAGGGGCCACAGATGGATAGAAAACATGTAAAACCCACAAGCAGATGGTAGTAGGATGCAGGGCAATCAACATTATTGTACAGATGAAGTGATTTCAACCAGAAAAAGAAAAATGGGCTTGTGGCTTAGAGCAAGTATGAATAATAGGGTGGTTTGAATTAAACCGCACTGCTTGTGTAAGCGACTTAGCCGCAGACCGTCCTCTTTTCAGCCTCTACACTTATCTGTTGGTGTTGGGCACCTTTTAATATCCATTACGAGTAAATATGTGTAATTGCATGGAAAGTTGTGTTAATGAATAATATATGCTGATAATCATTGATAGTGTGGCACTATACACCAAATCATATTTTCTTTTCTTTTAGTATATTGTTTATGCTTATTGTATTTTCAGTATTATGTAATATCATGGCCAGTACCTTCATTTAGGATTTTATGATTGTGTGTTATTTAGGTCATATTTTCAAAATAATGTATTTTAGTTGGTCATGCCATCTGTAATTAAATCTCTTTGCTTTGCGGACAGGCACAGATATGAATGAGGGTCAGCTGATGGGGGAGTTTGAGGCAGATTCTAAGCAGCTGGAGGCAGAGTCCTGGAGCCAGACAGTTGACAGCAAGTTCCTTAAACAGCAGAAGAAAGAGGTGGTGAAACAGCAGGATGTCATCTATGGTAAGATCTGAGCTCTAGAAGATGACTTTGAGTTGGTACACAGGAAGTGGATGGAGTAGGTGAACACAGAATTTGTGTAAAGAGGACAGTTTTGGCACAGTCAGTGAGTGCTCTTCTGAGGTAGGCAAATGGCCTTCCCTTGGAATCGGTATAAAGAAAGCAAATGACCGTGTACCACCATTGTTATGTGACCCATATCATCATTTGCCTTTGTCTTGATTTTATTACCCAGAATTGTCTAATTTTTATGTGAAAATAGTACATATATACAAGTTGATTCATAATTTATTTTTTTACCTTGACATGTTAATAATTTATGCAGATATACGTCCTCAGACTTCTTTATTCATGTGATAAATGTACTCATTTTTAGTTTATTACCTTGCATGAGGCAATAATATGCCCCTTATGCATATTAATTCAGGGTTACACACTCTGTGGACCAGGTCACGTTTTAGGCAAAAGCATCTCATTGAGTTGGTTGTTATCCACGTGGATTAATTTTCCATGGTCAGCTATAACATGAAGATATGAATTTGATTCATCTTCCTGATCATTTTTTTTGTAGAGCTCATGCAGACAGAAATGCACCACGTGCGGACATTAAAGATCATGAATGAAGTCTACTACCGGGGCATGCTGACTGAGCTGCAATTTGAGCAGAAAACCCTAGAGAAGATCTTTCCATGCATAGATGACTTGCTGAACATCCACACCAAGCTCTTCCAACGACTTCTGGAGAGAAAAAAGGAGTCGATGGCTGATAAAAGTGAACATAACTTTGTCATCAGGAGGATTGGGGATATTCTGGTGCACCAGGTAATAACTGGGTCTGGCAACAGTTTTTTGTTTTGTATAGAATTTCTATCCTCTGTTACAAATAAAGCAAATGTTATGAGAACTACATTAAGTGTTGTAGTGGTAAATTATTGTGTCTTTTGAGTGCTTAATAGATCATGTATATGTTATGTCTAACATGTTCTGCTTCTTTATGTGATATATATGAGTTTGCAACAGTAATAAAAAGTGGTTCGGTAATTCATATGACAACTGACAACTGTTTGGTGCAGAATATCTGGGCTGAGAATATCCACAGCTTGAATTTTAATTTTGAACCATTAGTCATTCAAGGCAAAGTCACGGTCACTGCTTTTGTGAAACAAGATTGTATTCCCGTTTTTCTAATACATCAACTGATAACTACTGTTATAGTGCTATAGTATATACTATTATAAGTTTGTATTTTCTGTTAAGACTAAAATGGACTTTATTTCAATTACGACAATAATTTGAGTTGGTCTTCTGGCTCACTTGAAAGTAAAATGCTGTCAGGTTAGTTTAAAATAAGTTGGCCCTTGAAAAGGAAACCCCAAGCTACTTTCTATTTATTTTTCTTAGTGTCCCTGTCTTCTTCTCTGTTGGTCACTCCTGAGCTAAAATAATGCACAGAAATAAGATAAGATCCAGGGGCCACTGCTATGTCACTGCCTTGTGACATGGTGCCAACCAGTTAAGACACAACCAGCAGCACCATTTACAGCCAACACATGGACAGGCTTAAAAACCAGGGCCGATAAAAGAAGAAAGGGCAGTCACTCAGAACTGGTAGTGTCTGAGTGCCCTAATGTACAGTATTTCAGGCACCAGAAAAGGTGGGCCGCTTTGTTCAACATGGCATATAATTGTCTGTAGAACTGTGGTTTTGTCCTTTACATTTTTCAATGGTACCCCCAGACAGGGGTACTTTAAAGTGATACCATTTATAATTGAGTTCATGCTAGTTTTAATCACTACGACTATAGTTTTATTTCAAACCTATGCCTGGAGTTCAATCTGGAAGACAAAACAAATGGTAAAGCTAGACTTTCCTGCATGATGTTAATTTACGTTTGTTAACAGAGGACATTTGGTGCCGAGATTATAAAATGTTGAAATTATTGATTTGAGCAACAATATTGCTGGCACTGCATCAAACTTTTTAGCTTATACTAGTTATACTAGACTTTGTATTGTGTCCTTTTAACTGAATAATTATAGGTGTTAAAGGCCTCCTGTCTTGCATGAGAAAAGTAATTCAAGTCTTGTCAGACATCCAGTAGACACCTTGTGAACTGTAGTAAACATTCAACTGTTTATGAGCAAAGTTATATACCCATACTCTCCTTTTATAGTTGTAACAATGTCAAACATTCCATATTTTATTACTGAAAATGCTATATTTATTTGTTGCTTTCTTTGCAGTTCTCTGGTGAAAAAGCTGAACACATGAAGAGAACATATGGTAAATTTTGTGGCCACCACAATGAAGCCGTAAATTATTTCAAGGATTTGCTGGCAAAGGAGAAGCGGTTTCAGGCCTTTATTAAGGTACTGGAGAGAACACCTGCATCTTAACATTGTGGTATTGCAGATATTTCCTGGGTGAGAATTGTGCATGAGACTAAGACTCTCTGTTCTTTTTCAGAAAAAGGGAAGTAGCACATTAGTGCGACGTCTAGGGATCCCAGAATGTATCCTCCTGGTTACTCAAAGGATAACCAAGTACCCAGTCATTTTACAGAGAATATTGCAGTATACAAAAGGTAATCATTATGATTTGTGGCTGTTAGGTTAATTGCCTTTTGGTATTATTGTTTTATCCACATGGTTTGTAAGTCATGAGTAGTAATTTTTAATAGTGATGTTGCATCATTGTCTGTACTGAAAACCTTTATGAAGACATGCCTCCAAAGTCATTTTTAGTCCAAATGTCTAAAAATTTGGAAACCATTTCTGGTACTCGGATGGCATATGTGTCAAACTGACAGAATGTACCCCGGCCTTACATGCTACAATTTTCAGAGATGTTGAAAAAGACCCACTAGAATCAAGCATTTACTAGTGTGTGGACATCTACCTCTTTAGTTCCCTTTAGTAATTGTCATTTGACTCATTCAGGGCAAAGTGACAGTGTCTGCTGATAACTCCCCCCAGGAACGTATAGTCACCAATCCTAGCTGCCTCCCACTGGAGGAATCCTACTCTGGGTAATATCTGGTGTTATAGATTACCTGGGTCGATGACATCACTGCAACTTTTCATGTGACAGTGGTTGGGGCTGGCTTATGGCCATTGAGGCCTGAGCACTGTCACGTGGGTGGTCACATGCTCCCTCATACCTGGAAGCCTCTTTGTTACAGGAACAAAGTGATGAGTCCAATTAAGGGGAAAGGCAGCAAAGCAGGAGGGATTGTTGAGTATAATTTGCTAGGGGGGTGTACTTTCTGCTGACCATTTTGCCTAGAATGGGTGAAGTAACCGTTTCTCTTTAACTCAACCTGAACACTTTAGCTTGGTACCTGAGCTGACAGAAGCAGGCACGACTTCTTCTCAACACATGGATTTTCTGTCTTGATACGTAGAAGGGTCTGTGTGTCTATGTTCTAATCAGATTTTCGATCTGTTTACAGAGAATGAAATTGAGCATCAGGAGGTTGAAAAAGCCCTGAATTTGGTAAAGGATGTTATTACTGAGGTGAATAATAAAGTCAATAATTATGAGAAGAAGAAGCGCCTTAATGAGATCTACAACAAGACTGATAGTAAATCAATACAACGCATGAAGAGTGGGCAAATGTTTGCAAAGGAGGACCTTAAAAGAAGGAAATTGGTTCGTGATGGCACTCTGTTCTTGAGATCCAATCCAGCCAATAGAATTAAAGGTTAGACTTTTGGGATTCTTTAAGGTCTATAATGGATTTGCTCCTCTAACGTTACACCAGCTAGTCTCTTAACCAGTTGACATCCGCGGTGTTAAACCCCCTTCCCATCCAGGCCATTTTTCAGTATTCAGCGCTGCGGTACTTTAACTGACATTTATTCCGTCATGCAGCGCTGTACTGAAATGAATTTTATACCCTTTTTTGGGGACAGATAGAGCTTTCTTTTGGTGGTATTTATTCACCACTGGGGGTTTTATTTTTTTACTATAAAGTTTTTTTACTACGGGCGGACGGCAAGAGGTTAATTAACCTTCTAATATTACCCTTTCCATATTTGAGGTCATTTAATCTATGTGATGGCTTTTCCGAGACATACACAGCATGGCTTTTTTTGTGTTATAGCAGTGTGTAATTTCCCTAATATTTCAGCTTTTCTTCTTATAAAAACGTGCCTAGTCATGCGGGTCCCCAAGCAATATTACTGAATTTACATGGCACCATTGCTTACATTTTAATTCCTTGCTGGTCACTCTCCAGAATTATTTTACAGGATTTATATAGCGCCAACAGTATTTTCCATAATCGTATGTGACCATGATATAGGTAAAAGGCTTTAGTATACTTGAAGTCTGTATGTGATGGATAACTCTTTGGCTATCAAGCCATTAGCTGCCATTTGCAGGTATATGCTATATCTTGTTTAGGGATGATTATTTGAGTTTTTCAGTAGATTCGGTGAATCTATTTTCTACATGTGTGTGAAGGTTCTCATTCATCCAGGTCATGGTATATCTGTAAAAAAATAAGTCAAGGCAACTGGACTTGCTGTATTTTTCTTGAAATTGTTCTGTTTACAATGATTAACACATGGGAGGGATTTAAGAGTTATCAATCTGCATAATCATATGGGAGTTGCCATTACTCATTTATCATTAAAGGCCAGATACTAAAACAAAAGGGGCCAAATATAATGGGTAGAGGCTAATTATCTCAGGTTATTCAAATGTTGTTCTGCATAAAGGGAGCTCAAAATTGCCAGAACACCAGAGGCGACTGTTATAATGATTATACCAACATTAAATGAAACTTTAAAAAAAACCATAAAACCTCAGACTTTGGCCAGTAATAAAGTAGCGTCTTTAGTCATACATTCACCCTTTCTGCATGGTTTTTTTCCCAGTTACTAGGTAACTGTGTTCCAGGTCACTAAGTAACAAGGGTAAAATAAAGGAAACTGTAAGGGGCTGGCGTTGCTGACCTCCTTCTGAAAATGTTAGTTGACTGGCTGTTTATGGCGTGCTAATTTCTGAGACAATGAGCAGGAATAAGCATGCGGAATAGCAATGTCATTGTGATGCTTGTTTTGAGTTACTGACTCACAAAGTACTGCATCCATTGGGCATCCATTGGGCAATCATTGGACACACTGGGATCTAATCTTTGTAAAGTTAGAGGTCCGCAATCACAGCCTCCATGCTTGCAGCTCATGTATGAGAATTTACTTTTTAATGAGTAACAGCATGGTAAACTTTTTAACAGTATCCACTGACGAATACATTACTTTACAATGGGAGCTCAGTTTATAGCAGGCACACTGTGTTTTATACAGTGACATCAATGTAAGTCAGTTGTGATTTTAGTCATCCTCGCCCACAAGCTTATATACTGCCAAGAACAACCAGTTCTCCCAGTCTCCACCCTTCTGGAGGAGCAATTTGTTTTTCCTTGATCCATCAACACCAACTTTACAAGGCATAGTAACCTGGCTGTCTTTGCTATGAAATGACTCCATCAGCATAGCCAGGAAGTTAAGGAAAAAAGGAGGGATAAAAAAGAACTTGTAATTCAAAGTTATTTTTGCATACCATTAACCACACATTGCAAGTGAGTGATCATCATTTCCAACTGAAGCACTAAATTGCAGGGATCTGCCGTCCACCTCAGCTAGGTTTTCCTTTTTACTGTAAATGGGAACATATTCCTAATGTAGAATTTGATACAGCGCAGTCTAAGCCAATACTGTCTGTAAACCATCTGACTATGAAGCACAAATGAGAGGCTAGTATGAGATTAATCTAAGAAAATGGTTGTAGTGTAGAAACAGACAGAACTATGATCTTTTGTTACATTCTCACCATAACTATGTCTTTTCATCTGATCTACAGAGGTGCTGGCGGTGCTGCTGGCTGATGTGTTGGTTTTCCTCCAAGAAAAGGACCAGAAATATGCCTTTGCATCACTGGTGAGGCTCCTTCACATAACTGAAATGTTCTGTGGACAATAATATGATGACCTGGTTGGACTATTAGTTGCTTTAAATGTAACATTTGCGAAAGGGGTTAATTATAATTTACCACCTGCTGCCCAGCCATTGTGATTAAAGGGCCGGACTGTGGTTTCTTGAATGTGGGTGGGCGTTTTAAAAAAACAAAAACGGGTGAATGCAGGTACACATGAGCTTGTTAGCCCCCTATGTGATTAACTAAAAAGGTTAAAAAGTAAAGTTTTAAAAAAAAAAGATTAAAAAGTCACATATCAAAACATTTTTAAGTCCCCTGCCCTCACATACACATGCAAACATGAATCGGGTGCGCATATGTGCGAAAATGACCATTGTGCCACACATGTTACCTATCGCCGCAAACATGGGAGTGCGAGCAAAACATATAGGGTTATCAATAACACTAAACTGATGAGTGGTAAAACCTTTTAAAGCGTCACCTATGGGCAAATTTGGGTATGGTAGTTTTTTCGATTTCACGGGTACACTCAATTTAAAGCTTGCCTTGTTTGGTGTCCATTTACCTGATATGACCCGTCTTTTATATTTTACAAAACATTTTGGTAATAATAAATGTTTCATAACATAACGTAGGGAAAACTGTTTTTTGTTTTTTTTTCCCCAAAATTTTTGGTACTTTTATCACTATATAGTAAAAAATAAAAACCCCAGTGGTGATTAAATACCACCACAAGAAAGCTCCATCTGTCCCCAAAAAATGGTATCAAATCAATTTCAGTACAGCATTGCGTGACGCAATAAATGTCAAAGTACTGCATTACTGATAAATGAAAAATGGCCTGGAAAGGAAGGGTGTGTAAACTCCCTGGTCAGCAAGAGGTTAAAGAGCATCCCCCATTAGGGAGGAATCTTTTGATTTCTCATTATCGGAATTGTTTAAATCTGTGCTTTAATAGGGTTCAGTTCTGTCCAGTGTTTCCCATTTCTTTGCATTATGAACGCTGTAACAAGCAATGGCATCAGTGAGCTTCGTCTTTGCACATAAAATGAAGATTTGCTGGTATGCCCCCAACGCATTGCAACATGTTTAATAACAATCTAAGGGGCCCTGTTTATTTTTTTTAATTGAGGGTTTTCTTAGTCAAAGTAGAATATTTGCTAATTGTAGTCAAATTATTGCAGTGCAAGAAAAACTGCTGGGAAAAGCAGCAAACCAATCACACACTACTTCTGGAAGAGTTCTGTACATTAATAGTGCACAAAATACCCCTAGGGTAGTCATGTTTATCATGATTACAAGGAAGCCATATCTGGGGGTTTTGATTATGTAATAAAAGCAGCTGACTGCTATGGGTTGCATATAGGGAGTATCCTGGTTCTTGTGCGACACAACACTGATGTCTTATGCTATGTCTACATCTTTCCGTAAATACATTTGGCTGAGAATGGAGTAAACTCTGGGCTACGGTCCGTTTTCTGTATTTATATACTGTTTTCCACTCATTGCTCACGTTAGATGGGGATGGAAATTGCTTGTGAGATGCGGATGCTCCCTTGCGTGTTTGGATTGTTTGTTTTCTTCTTGTATTGCTGGGTAATAAGTTGTAATGCTCTATGGCATTTAATACATGTGTATTATTTAAAAAATCAGCTGACTGCAGCCTAAAATAGGCAATTTTGCTCAAATGAAATTACAAAATGGCTTTTCTAGTCATAGCATAGGTTATAACAATGGAGTTTTGCTTAAAGAACTATGAGGTATGTGTTTTTCCCCATAGTTCTCTTTAGGGCCATGGGAGGATATATACTAACCTCCCCCCGTGACCCAAAGCTCAGTATATGGTGAGCTATTGTCCGCGATAGATCCCGACAATATTGGGAGATCCACCCAGCTGTCCCCACCCCCCTCCTCATCCGGAAGGGGGCGGTCAGCGCTGGAGGAGGGGAGGGGGGAATCCCTGCGGGGAGCCGTGACTGACAGTCACCGCTCACTGCACGGAGATAATCAGGAAGCAAGCGACTGTATGTGTTTGCTCACTTCCCCATCGATAGAGCCGACCTGTGACGGCTTCTTTTGTCACAGGTCGGCTCTAACTATGAAGATGAGTGGAAATCACTCACCTCATAGTTCTCTAAGGAGCAAACTAGATTTGTTTAATGGAGAGCATAAATAAGAAGTGGGAAATGGTTTTTAAACAAGTAGCTTCTGAGCTTGCTAAGCAATACCAATATCTGCCTAATTTCCTGGCTTGGGAAGGATACTAATATGCAGCCCTGTGTATGATACTCTTCAGGTTTGAACCTTTGTACCCATCCTCTCAGCTGCCCTCCAGTCCCAGCTGTCATTTTATAATTGAAAGTAAAGTTCTTGTATGGTTGCTTGGAGCAAAAGTCTTATTTCCTGAGCCTCCTGACTACCTTATTGATTGATTTATGACAACCTGATCTTAAACAGATGTGGCATTAAATAAGTATGGTTAAATCTGTGTGGCCTAGTGCCAAAACACTTCCATATACAGTCATTTCGGGGTCAAAACAAAGCTTGCTCAATACCCATTTCATGGCAGTGAGTTTTGTACAACAGAATTGCATACATCGAAAGATAGATTAGAAGAAAAGTTGAAAGAAGCCTCGAAACATGCTCAATATGAGGCATTTTTTTTTTAAATCAGCACCTATAAGGGCACCTTAATATTGCCATTGAAAGTGGTTTGCAAAATCCAGATATTTGTGTTGTTGATGGCTGAAAAGCAGGCAATGAATACATTTAGAATCGGATGAAGGTATCAAATTTATAACTATGTAGTATTGATGCACCGATCCCGATACTAGTATCAGTGCTGATACCAAGTATTTTGGTGAGTACTCTTACTCGCCCATATGCTCCAATTCTTACCTGTCTAGGAACAAGTGAAGCCGGCTTCCTAGCCAGACTGCCTAGCAACAAGTGAAGCCGGCTTCCTAGCCAGACTGCCTAGCAACAAGTGAAGCCGGCTTCCTAGCCAGACTGCCTAGCAACAAGTGAAGCCGGCTTCCTAGCCAGACTGCCTAGCAACAAGTGAAGCCGGCTTCCTAGCCAGACTGCCTAGCAACAAGTGAAGCCGGCTTCCTAGCCAATCAAGAAGGTAATTCCCCACCACCCGGCTTCCTGATGCCTGCTCCATACTCCCACGACACTGCCGATCAGAGGGAGTTCTGGTATCGGAGGTAAGTATTGGAGCATTTGGGTGAGTACCAGTACTCGCCCAAATACTCAGTATCGGCACCGATACTAGTATCTGGATCGGTTGATCAATAATACAAAGTTATAACTTTTATATCTTCATCCCATTCTAGATGTATTAATTGCCTGCTTTTCAGCCTTACCATTATACAGACTAATCAGCTTCTTATCTGACCCATCAACAAAACATGCTCCTGTCCAATCAGCAAGCCAGGAGGTGGGCCATGACGTGCCACCCAGCACCTCATGACTAGTCACATTGCTTCCTGATTGGTCAGAAAGCCAGGCAGCCTCGGCAAGTGAAGCCGGTGTTCTTTCGCTAGAGCACCAGCTTCACAAGCAATCAGCAAGCCGGGCAACAGGTTATGATCACGGGCCACAGCACCGGTACTCGGAATCGGAGAGTACCAAAAAAACATATTGGCACTCGTGCTTGATACCAAAAAAACGGTATCAGTGCATCCCCAGTATGTATTGGTGTTTATGATTTTTTTTTTGTTTTGTTTAACTAATTTTACATTTTTTTTTTTTAGGAACAAAAATCTACAGTGATTTCTCTGAAGAACCTGATAATAAGGAAAGTGGCACACGATGAAAAGGGACTGTTCCTAATCAGCATGATAGGGAAGGACCCAGAAATGGTGGAGGTTCTTACCAATACTAAAGAAGAGCGGGACAGCTGGATTGACACTATCCAGAACACGATGACCACAATGTATGTAGAAAAAGGGGCGCCGGCTTCCTAGCCAGACTGCCTAGCAACAAGTGAAGCCGGCTTCCTAGCCAGACTGCCTAGCAACAAGTGAAGCCGGCTTCCTAGCCAGACTGCCTAGCAACAAGTGAAGCCGGCTTCCTAGCCAGACTGCCTAGCAACAAGCGAAGCCGGCTTCCTAGCCAATCAAGAAGGTAATTCCCCACCACCCGGCTTCCTGATGCCTGCTCCATACTCCCACGACACTGCCGATCAGAGGGAGTTCTGGTATCGGAGGTAAGTATTGGAGCATTTGGGTGAGTACCAGTACTCGCCCAAATACTCAGTATCGGCACCGATACTAGTATCTGGATCGGTTGATCAATAATACAAAGTTATAACTTTTATATCTTCATCCCATTCTAGATGTATTAATTGCCTGCTTTTCAGCCTTACCATTATACAGACTAATCAGCTTCTTATCTGACCCATCAACAAAACATGCTCCTGTCCAATCAGCAAGCCAGGAGGTGGGCCATGACGTGCCACCCAGCACCTCATGACTAGTCACATTGCTTCCTGATTGGTCAGAAAGCCAGGCAGCCTCGGCAAGTGAAGCCGGTGTTCTTTCGCTAGAGCACCAGCTTCACAAGCAATCAGCAAGCCGGGCAACAGGTTATGATCACGGGCCACAGCACCGGTACTCGGAATCGGAGAGTACCAAAAAAACATATTGGCACTCGTGCTTGATACCAAAAAAACGGTATCAGTGCATCCCCAGTATGTATTGGTGTTTATGATTTTTTTTTTGTTTTGTTTAACTAATTTTACATTTTTTTTTTTTAGGAACAAAAATCTACAGTGATTTCTCTGAAGAACCTGATAATAAGGAAAGTGGCACACGATGAAAAGGGACTGTTCCTAATCAGCATGATAGGGAAGGACCCAGAAATGGTGGAGGTTCTTACCAATACTAAAGAAGAGCGGGACAGCTGGATTGACACTATCCAGAACACGATGACCACAATGTATGTAGAAGTACTGTCTCTGCTGCTCTCGCAAGGGCTTTATTCTTCTGCCTTACTAATCCTCAGTTCTGTCTTGTATAATATTCTAGGGACAAAGACGAAGATGAAGGGGTTCCATCTGAGTCAGAGGAAGAAAAGAAGAACTGGGATACCAAAGCCAGAGAACTGAGAGGTACAGAAAGTTTGTTTTCCATCTCCATATATTATGCTGCCATTTATCTCATATACTCTATATACACTTGAAGGGAAAACACAAGGACTGTGTACCCCACACAGTCACAGTGAGATTGCCTATGTATAGTCAATCACTGTCAAGCACAGTGGCTTTCATAAACCAGTGTTTTTTTTCCAGATACAGCTGAGTTTAGCCCAGGGATAGTCAATCTTGGCACTCCAGCTGTGGTGAAACTACAAATCCCATTATGCTTCCAGGAGTCATGCCTGAGGTTGTCAGTCTTGAAATGCCTTATGGGATTTTTAATTTCCTCTAGTTTAGCCTATTATAACAGCTATATTGCTAAAGGATATTGGACTAGGTTGCCATAGCTAACGTTTCACCTGTGTATGACTGAATCGGGCTCAAATGGCCTCTAAAATGTTTTATGGTTTTCATTTATCATTATCATAGTGTTATTTACCAACCAACACATGTATTGTCAAATCTTTATTGGGTAGATGGTTTAAACAATGTATAATCATGATGAAGAAAGTATGTGAACCTCAAGGCAAATGACCTCTTGAAAAGAGGCTCATTGGATTTTGGTATTCCAAACAATGAGTTGCAATGGTGTGGTTTGAAGGTGTCCAGGCCTATAAATATTGTAAATGTATAATGGTAGGAAAAGCTGCAACAGTGTTTATGAAGGAGGTCAGGACATTCATCAGTACACAGTAAGACATATTATTTACATATGGCATATAAAGTACTTCAATACTGCTACGCCTGCCAAGATCTCCGTGCAGCATGCAGTGCTGGAGGAGCTGAAATAGAACCATAGTGTAACAGCAAAGGACCTGAAGATATTTCTTGACCTCGCCTATTTTTTTTTTTATGTTCATGAAAGAACATTATGTAAAAAAAAGTTACTGCCATCCCAAGTTTGCCAAGAGCACCTTGGGTTTCCATAGTGCTCCTGGTATTATGTTCTGTGGAAGGATGGCACAAGTTGAATACCTTGGCATACACACAAACCACTATGTTTGGAATGAAGAAAAAAAAGACATGGCCAAAGCTAATCCCAACCGTGTAGCAAAGTGAAAGAAACATCATATGTGACTGTTTTGCTACGTCAGGGCGTGGACAACTTTTGTAGTGAAGACGGAACAATTTGCATAGCCATGGACTTGTATGAGAATAAAGAAAACGAAAGGGAACAGAGCGCCACCTCCGTGTGTAGAATCATTTATTAGGATAAATAAAACAAGGGATAAATGTACTCACAAGCAAACGTTTTCATCACGCTTTAACAACAAACGAGAGGCCACACTGCCTGTTAACCCAACATGGTATCCCCCCAACTATGTAACACGGTAGCCTCCGGTCACATCACCATCCACTGGCTGCAGTCAGCCAAGATTTTACACACGGAGGTGGCGCTCTGTTCCCTTTTGTTTTTTTATGTTCGTGGTGGAAGCCCCAGAGCTTTGGATGAGCAGCCCCTCAAGTCTGTGTGATAAACTGTTGAAAACTTTGAGTATGCAACAGCAAGTGGATCATTCAGCTGGCAGCCATTAGCATCAAGCGTTAAAGAAAACTTTTTGTATGAGAATACATCCCGCTTGAAGTAAAGATCCGTCAACAGAGGTCCTAATTGTAATGCATTCTTCTATTGCAGGGCAACTGCATCAGAAAGATGAACAAATATTAACCTTACTTGAAGAGAAAGAAAAGCTTTTTCAGGCATTGACACTTTGCAGTGGTCAAGAAGAGAATTCCCCATCAGCACTGGGCAGAACTCTGTTCAGAGCAAACACAGAAGAGGCTCCCAGAGGAGAACCACTAATAAAAAGTGCCATCAAAGAAGGTAGGAATTTCCTTTTTTTTAAAAAAAAATATATATATATAAAGTTTACAAGCTTTTGGTGAAACAGCTACTGACGAAGCTCACACCTATGTATGTAATAACCCCCTGCATGCAAAGAACTGGGATATGTGTTATGAGGCACCCAAACTCTTCACATCTCCTAGTACTTGGTGTAGTAACACTAACTACCTCTTCACATCTGCTGCCTACAGGGTTTATTGCAGGGGTGGGGAACCTCCGGCCCTCCAGCTGTGCTAAAACTACAAATCCCATGATGCATCCATCTCTGGGAGTCATGCCTGTGGCTGTGAGAATCTAGCAATGCCTCATGGGATTAGTAGTTTCACCACAGCTGCAAGGCCGGTGGTTCCCCACACCTGGTTTATTGAGTAATGGAAGCAACGGCCCCGTGGTGTGCTTGGCTGTTTATCAAGCACAGTGCAAACCGATAACTTATTTATATACTTTGCTAAGCAAAAAGCCCCCATGTAGGCGGCCCAGGCTGTCTCTTAAAAGGCTGTTCACATGAGCCTTTTGTAGAATTAGTCATTTTACGTAAACATCCTGTTGCTCTGTGTTGGGTGCAATGTGAGGAAAAAATAGGGTGTGTGTTCACAGAGCCATTCGTCCTGCAGAACTGCAATTGCATTCTGTCATCATCCATTCATCAAATTAGAGTAAATCAATAAAAAAAACAAATTATGGCCACTAGATGAAGCCAAGTAGCATAGGAATGAATATTTGCTGTGATCATCAGCACCATTTTGTGGCCATAATGCAATATTTTCTTTATTATTCAATCTTAATTGCATTTGACCTAGAAAGAAAATATACTAATAACTTTCGTGTTACCCAATTTGCACACAATTGTGTAGTGTGTGTGTGTGTGTTTGTGTGGTAGTTTACCAGGATGATTGGCTCTGCAAGTTTTTATATAAATGCACGCCTTGGTAATTTATTTTGTGGTAGTACTAGGCAGGAAATGAGTTGTGTGCTGATCCCGTCTACTTTCTTCTCTCCACATCACTTTAACTATCTTCTTTTACAATATTGTTTTCAAACCACTAAGGCTTTTAAATGTAAGTTATTAGCAAAGTCTTGTACATAAACCCCTTTAAAAATGAAGGCCTCTGATTCAGATGAAACCATCTCCCGTGCCCCGGCCTGCACAGGAGTGGACAATATTTATCTCCTCTCTAGTTGTGGTTGTCGGTGAAATAGGTTTACCCTGAGCTTAGCATAGATCACGGTGTCTGACCTGTGGCCTGAAGCCCTTAGTCATTATTTCCCTTGCCTCGGTGCTTCCTTTGGGGACAGTGAAATCTAACCCTCATAAAACTAAATTCTCTTAGCGACTGTTTTTTTATAATTTCTTTCACACTTCTTTACTTTTTCTGTGTCCTCCATTCTTTTTTTTTTTCTCTTTTTGTGTATTTTTTCTCCTTTTAAAATTGATAAAATGTGGTGTCAGTATTTGTTATTGGGACTGCAAGGAGGGCTGGATTATAAAGGGATAACAGGGAGCTCAAGCAGTCCCCTGTCTCTGACATTCTCATTCAGCATGTCCCCTGTCTCCCCCATGCCAATAGCATGACTGGGGTCTTTGACCATCTCCTGTAGCATGCTTGCAATTTTTGACAATCTACTATACTATGTCCAGTCGCTCTTTTCTGTAGAATTAAATGCACTGAATATTATGTCTGGACCACACCATGTTATCTAATTTGGCCACCGCTCTTATGGAAAATGATGGCTGGCCATTCTCTATTCATTCATGTTGCCAGTGCTGCAGCCAGAGAGGAGATATACCGCCACCACCCAGTTTATCTGTATCTCAGTACTGTATTATAGGAGGGGAGAGGGTAAATATCTGTTAATCTCAGCTTGGCGAAACGTTTAATCTCCTATCAAATCTTTCTTCATTCAAACAATTTCATATCCTTCAAAATAATAGGAAAACACATTCTTAGTGTCAGTAATTGTTTGTGCATTCAAATGGCTGACTTTTCATGAAGACTTAATGGGAATAAATGATTCATTTGATAGTTTATTGTGGATTTAAACCTGTAAAGTGTTTTGGTTGTCTCCATTGTCTAAGTGTTCTCTGTTTTGCAGTGGAGACACTTGAAGTTCTGGTAAACCAGTATCTGTGGAGCAGTCTAGTGGCGCAGGAGTCTGGTGAGCTAGAAAATGGAGTTGGTCCCGTTTCTCTTCCCCGGAGAGCAGAAACGTTTGGAGGGTTTGACAGCCATCAACTCAGTGCTTCCAAATGTAAGTGCCTGAACATGTTACCCATTTTAGTTTAAAGTGGAACCAGACCCACCAATTTAACTGTCTCCTAAAAGAGTTACGTTCAAGGCATGTCAACTTTCAAGGTTGCCAGTCTGCTTATTTCCGGTCTCAAGCGAACTTTTCAGCCCCAAATGGCTGGTGTCATAGTTGATCACATGTGCAGCACCATGAAAACTGCAATCCAAAGAGCGGCTAAGATGGCACTTTCCCTGGCTGTAAAGGATAAGAAGGTGTAGCCCTGGTTTAAATACAATCCTGCTTTTTGTGTTTTAGGTACCACCCCTTTTTGTGTTTTTGCGTGTTGTTTAAATGTTTTTTGTAATAAAGGTTTTAAAATAAATAAATAATGATCTGCCATAGTAAAATGAACAGCAAGTTTACGAACAAGAACTGCATTGTTGTGATATACTTTTCTTGACTGGTCTTGATTTCCACTTCAAGGTGGAGAAAAAGATGAAGGGGAAGATGCACAGGATCTCCGAAGAACTGAATCTGACAGTGTTCTCAAAAAGGTATTGTTTACAATGGCGTACAGAATAATGTGCATCGGTGGGGAGAATTTTGTGCAGAGCATACAATTGTTTCTCTCCCGTTCATTGAAGGACACAGGGAACAGATCGGAGATCATGTACTGTAGGGTAATATCGCCACCTGCAGGAGAAGGACGCTAGGCACAAAAAAACTAAAGACCAATTACAGCCTAGGGGCGGCCCCTGCCAGTGGCCAAACCCCCCACCTACTGAGAAGTCTCCAGTTTTTTGCCTAGCGTCAGGAGTAAGGAGCTAAGAATTTTCCTCGGTATTCTTACCTGCTTCTTCCTGATTTTTTTCAGAGGATTCTTCTTGCAAGTGTTGTCCGGGCGACAGGCTGGATGTCTTGGATCCTTGGAGTCTCCCCTGGATAACCAGCGAGCGTATGCAGACCCGCTACGGTGGGTCGGCTACGACGGCCCCGCTCCGGCGGGGTGGCCTGTGGGTTCGTCCCAGGGGGGTGCATATGAAAGTATCTCCACCAATTGTCTTGTAGTTCTAAAAACAATGAGAAGGCTTGTGCAGACAAATGACTTGTCCAGCTCCTGTCTCTTGTGACTTGGTAATAAAACTGCTCAGGGAGGCATGGCAGACAGAGAGACCATTAGTTTCTACAGATTGCTGCACTGGTTGTGTACTTGAATCTCGGCAGAGATTGCCGATAGAGCAAAGTTGTTATGCGCTTGTCTGGGCATTTGCAGTATATGAATGGACAGGGAAGATTTGGTTATGTTTCTGATATCTAGAATGAAATGGGTTTTCCTGATACTATTATACTGTGCATATACTTGGAAGTTTTAGAAGCTTCCCTTCAGGTTTCCATTGAAAAAAATAGCAAAGAACTTCAATAATGTGGCTGGCTGAAACTGGAAAACAATTAGAACTTATGGTTCCAATCGTAGTCCCAGTGGCGTAACAATCGCCATATCGACCCAGGTGGCCGCTATGGGGCCCGTGCACAGGGGGGCCCAGCATCCCTCTGATGCCGTGTGGGCCGACTGGGTCGCTATGGCGTCTTGGGTGCTGGCTGTCACTGGCATAGCTCAGCAGCTGCTGTGAAGGAGAACGTTCCCCCTCACAGCCGCTGTGGAGCTGTGTCGGTGACAGCCAGCAGAATAGGCCGGTTGCACCGGCATTTGCAGTAAAGGAGGCGGGGCCCGCCTAACAGCAACCCCGCCTCCACTCACATCACTGGCCAGCGATCTAAGAGCAGGTGGGGCCAGTGATGTAAGAGGAGGCGGGGCCCGTCGATAGAAGGAGGCGGAGCCCGGGAACGGAAGAGGAGGCAGGGGCCCGGCTGCAGCGACCACGGAGGTGACAGGTAAGAGGCGTACAGCGCAACTGAGACCTTGCAGAGCCCACCATAGAGAGTCTATGGTGGGCTCTGCAAGTGGCATAACTAGCAATCACGGGGCCCCATACAAAATTTTGCTATGGGGCCCTGTGATTTCTAGTTACGCCCCTGCGTAGTCCAGTTTATAGAAATTTTTAATATTAAAAAATTAAATTTAAAAAATATTTTACATTTTGCAGGATTTCTAAGTGTAGGGCCAACTTAATATAAAATAAAAGAGATGTCACCAGCACACCAAGTTCCTTCAAGGACAATCAATCGTGGATTTATTAAAAACTCACACTGGCGTTTTTTTGACACGAGTTTTCAATAAATCCACGATTGATTATCCTTAAAGGAACTTGGTGTGCTGGTGACATCTCTCTCATATTATGTGCAATTTGCGGCGCCATCCGCAGTTATTCCAAGCACCCTTCCCTGGATACGGGACTTTCCGGTAAGGAGTGCAACAAGCATTCTGTATCATGCAACTTAACATAAAGCCGCATAAAAGGTAAGAGAATCTAGTCCTGCTATTGCTATTCATGTAGAGGGCCATGTTCATACACGCCACAGTGATACTTTCGCAGGCGCTCCATTACAAGAGATGTCCCTGTATCACATTTCTCCTGCAGATGGTCTCTGATATTATAGGGCTCCAGCTGCTGGAGAGGTTGTATATTGAGATCCCCTCTCATACTTCGATGTTAGTTTTGTAACTTGGTTAGACAACCTGGAAGCTACAAAGGTGGGGAGATTTTCAGAACGTTTCTTTTGGCGTATTCTGTAAGCTCTTAGAATGCATGTAAAGAAGACAAAATAGAGAATGCACTTGTTAATATATTTTATGAGCTGGTAATTTTTATAATAAAAGTTTGTTTCTTCTTACATCTGCAGGGAGTAAACCCCAGTGTTGTGGTGAAGAGAAATGGCATGGTAAGAGTTTGTAATGGTTTCCTAGATATCTGGAATACTGTTGGCTGGAGTGTTTGAAGACATTTGTATAAATAATTGATTTGTATACATAACTCCCTTTTCTTTCACTGCAGCAAGTTCTTCTATCTGTCAGCAATCTTCATAAATACCTGAAGTCTTTGCAGGTCAGTTGTTAAAGATTATAGCTGCATTAAATGCATCGCCTGCTGTGTGATCTGTATTCTAAAAGTTTTATTATACCATAGGGTGTGGTCGTACAGCAAGACACCTACATTGAGGATCAGAAAATGATGCTGAGCAAAGGAACCCTCACCTGGAAATCAAGACCAAGCTCATTAAATTATCAGGAGAAGCAACGCAGCCTTGAAAAACTGCGTCAAGAGATCTCCAGCTTGGAAAAGCAGCAAGCACAGCACAGGGAAGAGAAGCTCCGAAATGAAGGGCAGTGGGAATGCCGAGAAAAAAAGTTTGCAGAGTGGAAAGAATGGTCGTCAAACATGGATGACGACATAAAGAAGAGTATGCAGGAAATGGAACAGAAGAAGCATCGGCTGGAGATCATAAAAGCCCTCGGTCAGTGTGACGCAGAGGGCTTAGAAGAAGAGATACAGCCAGGGAAGACCCAAGAGCAGCGGAACAAAGACCCCAAACAGGTATAGTTTACGGTGACTGTGGTTTCCCACCATGAGAAAAAGAATCTGTCCACTCATATGTAATGAATATTGTGTGTGTGGGGTGGGGGTTCTTTTGGACTTATCTTTAAATGGTAGGAGAACTAAAAAGATTTTGTTTGTCAGTTGCTGCTCACTGGTGTAAGTAGTGATTAAAAATTCTCCACTGACCTGCATAGGAAGTACATATACTAGAAGGTGACCATTGAGAATTTCTGCATAATTTGCCAGTCCTAAAAAGTCCTAGGCTAGTGCTTTATTATAAACATGAGAGAATGATGGTTTTCCTGGCAGGTTTAGCTGGTCATACATTTTAATCAAGCAATAAACTTAGTGACACTAAACGCAGCAGTTAAATGTTAAAAATGCATTCAAGTACATTACTATTAACAAAAATGTATCTTATTTGTGTATCACTCGGCTGTAGATCCTCAAATCGTCTCTGAATTGGTGCTGATGCTGTCATTTTTGTAAAGTAGCCACCGCTCCAAGCTCACTCCTGTGATGGACTACAATCTCATGTTTAGTTTACCAATTTGTATTGAGATTGTAGTCCATCACAGGTGCGAGCTTGCAGCAGTGGCTACTTTACACCACACACAGGGAACACAGATAGCCACCCTCCAGAAGGAAGGACAGTGTCGGCACCAATTCAGAGATGATTTGAGGATCTACAGCCGAGTGATACACAAATAAGATACATTTTTGTTAATAGTTAGGGTACAAGAATGCATTTTTAAGATTTAACTTCTGAGTTTAGTGTCACTTTTTAAGCCACGTTTTCACCACCTTTGCATAAAGCAAAGCGGCCATTAGTTGCCTGCTTTTATGTATAAGAAGCCCATTGCATAGTACATGCATTTTCTGTAGATGGGGAAGATTTTTGAGGTACAATATGCAGTGGACTGCCTTGGAACACCCCTATTGTGAAAAGGTTCTGACCGAGATGTCACACTGATTGCATCTTGTTGTCCAGCGTCTGACTTGTGGTTCAGTGCATCTGAAAGGTCCCAAATACCACTGCCTGCTGACTGATCTCAGCTGGTACTTGCGGTTGGATTGTCCACAATATTGCAGTACCGAAAACACACGGAGATATGGATTTGTGCAGATTAGACTTGATCTTTAACAGATTTGTTACAGAAAGTGTGATCTGTGGTTTATGGAACACAACTGAAAAGCAGAAAGCTGTGAAAGATCACCTAGAAAGAAATCATTGTCCTTTACAATGTGAAATATAAATCCTTCAGGGAATCTTGCTATAATGTTGAAAGCTGTAGACCCATTTTGGAACGCACGTAGTACCCTTATAGACAAACGGTAAGTAGAATAGTAATACTTGTATGTGGATTACCATCTCTTGATATGGATTCTTTTCAATAGGTATCTTTTCAGCATGACAAGGTGAGCAGGGTGCCCTCACTCCCTGGTGGCATGGACTCAAAGTGGTGTGACTCAAACTCGACCAAACAGGAACAGTTGCAGTCAGAGGCATCTACGTTACCTAAAAAGGACTGTTTACTACGGACTGATAGTAAGCAAAAAGGAAAAGGCCACTTCAATTTACTTGGGAGCCAGTCTAATAAATCGGCAGAGGGACATTCCTCCAATCGCCTCTTTAACTTGGCAAAACCAAAGGAAAAAAAGGACAAGAAGAAGAAGAGCAAAGGACCCAGCCCTATAACCTCAGGTAACTGAAAGGAAAAAGATTGTTGTTGTGATTCCACTGGGTCGCTATAGTGTAGCTACACAATGTGATGTAATTGTACATTTCAACACAATGCTGTAGCTGCACATCACTTCGCTTATTGCTTTCACTTCACATTTAGTGCTTGATCATGGGTGGTCAACTATGGACATTCTTTCAATGGTTGTCTACAGTTGTGAGATCCGTCTTCCTCTCTCCAGCTGTGTCTGTTACTGTCTGATGCTCCTTTAGGCCTCAAGTTCAATTCCCTGAGTTTTCGAACATAATGGACATGGTGATAAGGGAGTAGAGCCACTATACTACAAAGCTTGTCCCTGGACTTCCTGCAGTGATCTCTTTATACCATGGGATTTGCTGAAGGCTTAGCTTTTGGTATTAGGAGGAATTAGAAATATACTTTTAATAAACTAGGCTTAAAATATGGGGGTAAGTGTTTTTCCCGTAGTTCTCTTTAGGGTCATGGGAGGACATATACTATCCTCCTCCCGTGACCCAAAGCTCAGTTTATCGCGGGCTAATGCCGCAGCCGGGACAGATCCAGACAATACTGTCGATATCCACCCAGCTGCGTGAGTGACAGCGGGCTCTGCATATGTAGAGGCAGAGCCAGCTGTACCCGCCCCGTTCCCCGTCCTTTCCTCCAGTCAGCGCTGTAGGATCGGAGTGGGGAGGGGGGAATCACTGTGGGGAGGGATGACTGACTCACTGCTCTCTGCTGAGAGACCATCGGAAAGTGAGTGGATCGGTGCACGTTTCTGCTCACTTCATCAATTGAGCTGACCTGTGACAGCTTCTTTGTCACAGGTCGGCTCTAACTAAGAAGATGAGTGGAAATCACTCATCTTATAGTTCTCTAAGTAAAAATGAGGAGCTGTTGAAATTACTTAATTGCAACCAATGGACATTTTATTTACTTTGTTAGCTATGGGAAAGTAGCTCATCTGCAAGTTCTGTCCCTGACACCCTGAATAATTGTAAATATGGAATTGAAGCACCACACTGAAATTTGAAGTCCATATACAAATGTATTCCAGTGTATAATCAAATAAGAACCAGTGTGTTTTGAGGCGCTAAGCCTTGCCTTTATCAGGGCTTGGAGGAAAGGGGATAGTGTTCAGTATGTAGAGACTTGGTATCCCCTTTCCTCTAAGGGGATGTTTGCCCCCCGATAAAGGGGTCAAAGTTTAGCCCCAAAATGCATCAGCTTATCTACAGTCCTTATCTGATGTCCTGTTCAAATAAATATGTTTTATGGACTTCAGCATCACAGTGTGGGGCTTAACTTCCCAGTCACAGTTTAATGTGAGGGGGATCCCTGTTGGCATGTAGAATCTGACATCCCAGTGCCCAGACTCCCAAAGCACATGTATTAGGTGCCGCTCCAGGTTGGATCTGCTGACATGGTGCACCAGCTTGCAACCAGCCATGAAATACACAGTAACTATAAGGAAGTGTGGCAGTCCTGTATCAATTGAAGATCGGTGTGTAATCTTTAATTCATTGGCATACAGCATATATCTGGGACAAAATCTCTAGCGTGTTTCATGCATACTTGTGCTTAATCATAGAGCCATCTATGATCAGACATCTTTGTCCCAGATATATGCTGTATGCCGATTGATGAATTAAAGATTACACACTGATCTTAAATTGATACACCTCCTTATAGTTACTGTGTGTGTATCCCAGTGCCCAGACAGCATACATCCGTATAACCTCCAGTCACACAGAGAATCACAGGACAAATGACTGCAGTTTTTGTTTTTTTTTATGAACAAAAAAAAAACATTTGGGCCAGAAAATATCCCAAGTTTACAGCTGGACCATGCCCACATATGATCCTCATTATAGGGGAAAACAACTAATGGTGTATGGCCACCTTTAGTTGTCTTGGTTGGATATAAAAACTTGGTCCAAACAGGCACCTCAAGGGAGCTATATATAAATATCAGGAACCATGTCCTCCAGATATGCAATAATCAAATATATATATAATTATATACAAAAGTCTCCAAAGCCATAGATTTGTTGATTATACTATATAGCATATATATCTCACTACTATATAGCTCTCATATATGTCTCTTACATATATACTTCTTACTTTATAACAATAATGTCCTTTATTAACTGGGTCTTGTGGATATATTTTAAACCTTTTACGGTTTATAGGTTTGTATTTGTTTTTTTTTTCTCATTTTGTTAATATTTATTTTTCTCTTGTGCATATTGTTTTTGGATATATTTATGCAATAAAGTGATTGATATATATTCATTCTTATTTGCTGCAATGTACAAAATACATAGGTAAGAAGTCAGACCTTTAATTGTTGTTTTTCCCTTTTCTTGTTTTTTTTTTTTTTCTTTCTTTCTTGCAGTCTGTGTACCTGTTGGGGAAATTCACCCTCTGCATTTGTCCTGGTGACATTTTCACCTAGGTCAGACAGTGAGGGTAAAACTGAAAGTTAGAACAGAAAAAGAGAGGACATCTTCTGGGGGGACACTTCTGAAGATTTCCTCAGTTTTAGAGAGGATCTGTAGACAGAAAGTGAAGTCTCCAAAATACTTGCTGTGTGTGTGTGTGTGTGTGTGTGTGTGTGTGTGTGTGTGTGTATATATATATTACTCTCCAGAATACTTTAAAGTTTATTCTTATTCTTTTGTTTTTTAAGAACCCCACCCTATAGAAGGAACAACGGAGGAGGAAGAAATCTTCTGTTAGAGGACTTACTGTTCATTCTGCACTGGGAAGCCACAATAGACAATCTGTGTTACATGAGAAAACCTCCCCTGATCACTTTACACCGATTTGCTGTACTGCTCACCATTGGCTATCACAGTGTCATCCAGGCAGACGTCCTCCTCGGTCTATCTATGTTTCATATTCCATTGAGTTTTTACTGCATACAGTGACGGCTCCATGACCCCAGCGCTTTTATATTACAGTCACTGTGGCTGGGGCCTGTGAGATCACTGCTGGAACGTTATTTTAGGAACTACATCCACTTCTGGGATCGTACCACATCAACACCCATGGGATGGTATCATCATTGCTGCTCATCATCACAATCACCTACGTGGTTATCATCACTCAAGTGGGAATGTCTTTTTCCTTGTTACTGTGTTCTTCCGATTTCTGGATCTCTAGATGAAAAATGGTTCATGAATTTGATGTCTGTGTTTAAACAAGATCTCATTTTCTCCCCAATGAAATATGTATTTGGTTCTCCTCCTGGTTTAGTTTGATCATTAGGTATGCACAGCTACTTGTATTTTCCTGTGCCTGGTTTGTGTTTGGTTACACGTCCGCAGAGCCCGGAGTGATACTTTCGCTGGTTGCCGGTAGGGGGCATTGTAGACATTCTTTTCAGATTTCATTCTTTCTCATTTACAAGACCCTGTTATGTGGGAATTCTCTTTCATGTCTGCTGTCAGACCTTGTAGAGAAATCTCTCTTTTTCGCAATGTGGGTTAGTGTTAACATTTTACCGGCTTTCTTTCTGTGCTGTTACAGATGTCATTTTCTGGAGCTGCACTCCCTCTTGTATAGCCGCTTAGGTCTCCGGCATCGTGCACAAATGAATTAGTATGATCCGATCTGTCACCCTGGATTAGGAGGGGGGCTTTTTACTTGAGAAGCCAGTAAAGTCGAACACAAGTGTAACATAAAGGTTAATGACATTTAGACAACCCGTGTAAAATATCAATAGTTTGTCCACAATTTATTTACGATAGTTATAAATGTTACACATGGTTTACTTTGTGTCTAGCAGTTCTGTTATAGAACACTGCAATCAGCTACCAACTCACCCTTTCCTCAATCTGGAATAGCTGCCCCCCCCCACACACACACATAATAGGCTCTGTCAGCTGCAAGCAAAGGCTAAAATATGTCTAATAATGTTTGTGCTAGGGAATTTCTGATCCAGTCTTCATGGAGGTTTTTGTTTTTTGGGGGGTAAGGCAGCACAGAGTGCAATAACCAAGAACAGCCAATCAAATGTTAATTTTCTGTACTCTGATCAGATGTGATCTTTCTGATTGGTTGCCATGAGTTACGGCACTTTCTACATCATTTTTAGTTTTCAGCTGCCTTACTAAATACATTGGTTGTTTTCACATTTTTATTGTATGAGATCTTTTGTATGTAGGCATTTTGAGGTGTAGCATTTTACTATTAGAATGCCAAAGAAAAAAAAATGGGGGCTTCTTTTTAAGGATATTTGGGATAATGTGAAAATAGATGAATATTTTTGTAAAAACAAATTCAAACATTGTGGCCTAGAGACAAAAGAGAAGTTGTTTTTTGGCAGATGATGAGAGTTGTCAGTTTGCAACTTTGTGGTGAGATATAGATTAGTAAAGGACATGGCCATGCATTGGTCTTTAAATTGCCGGCTCTGCCACAAGCCTGGTCTCTCATGGAGAATGCCAGCCTAGCTGTATATAGTGGGAGCGCATAGTTGTTTAATTAGTTTGTTCCCCTGCAGACACCGGGCTTCATAGTTCTTTAGTACTGCACTATATATTATAGTAAATTACAAATTTCACAATATGCCTGTTAAAGGGGTTTAAAAAATGCATCGCAGCCTGTGTCTGGCACATAGAGTTTCCGTTTTCTTAAAGTTCTATCAAATTCATACTGGATAAAAGAACATTTGCAGTAACAGGGGGTGGTGAGAATTTGTACATGAGAAATGTAGATTTCAAGGTGTCCTTCAACACTTCATTGCAGTATGTTACCACTATGCACTTTATGAATGTCCTCCAATCAATGACAATCACCTAGTCTAGCAATCTACTGCAAGTTAGGAAACTGTTAATCTGTGTGTGCAAAGCTGGTCAGGTCAACACCACGGTGTGATGGAATGAGGGGAAGCAGAGACCATCACTCGATTGGTCTCGTGTTAAAAAGTAATAGTCGTTGTTGCCAGCAGGCGCCGATTCGCTTTCCCTATAATGCTTTAGATATAGAGACAGGGGAATGTACTACTAGCGTGCTTTTCCTTCTTCAGACACTGGAGCACGAGGTGGGCGAATCTACCATTGTGTACTGTATCAAACTGCCTGAAGATAGAACTGTTTTTATCAAGCCGTGTCCCCTCATAGTATGAGCACTTTTACTGACAATGCAAAGTGGGAACCGGTTAACATCCCAGCTGCAAGTCATCCACAAAACAAATTGTCACTCTTGCTTCAGTGAGATTTTGGCTATGGAAGCTGACTTTGATGTCATCATCTAGGGCTTTAGTGTGGAGTGATCTGTTCTCCTCAGCCCCCCAGAAGTTTTCATGCGGTAGAGCAGAGAAACCATTTACTTAAAGACATTGTAAGGGTGAAGAAAGATGAGAATTAGTCTGCTGGGTCCTGGTACGTCAAACATCAGCTTCAAGTGGGCAAGTTTGGTGAGCATCCAGCAGAAGGGAGGACTAAAATGTAGAGTGGCCAATGTCCTCCACACCACACGATAGGTTGCACCATCCTGCCATCGTCACACCATACAGTCAGGGCTGGATTTCTCACAAGGCCACCCAAGGCCCGGCCTTGAGTAGAGGGGTGTGGAATTCCTATCTCCCGACACCCCGGACATGCAGTTCCGGGCAACGGGCGGGTAGTTGTTTTCTACATTTAGCCCTGCTTTTAGCAAGCAGGGCTAAATGTACCTCGGGGAAGCCGCTGATTGTTTTATACAAGTGATGTCGCCGAGATCACTTGTATGCAGCCTGCAGGTCTGTCATTCTCCATTGGGGGGTGTTTGGAGGGTAGGGTGGCGCATTGAGGAGCCTTCAACATGGCCTTGGGGCAGCAGAGAGAGTAAATCCGGCCCTGCATACAGCACCAGCTTTATGAAAGGAGAAGGTGGGATTTATTGGCCGAGTTTAGTGGACTGCACAGCAAAGCATTTCCTGAGGTTGTAGGAGAGGTGACTTGTCGGCACTGGTACAGCAGGGATCTCAGACCACTAACATTTTGTTTCTTATATTGGACATGTATGTGATCTCTCCTTCACAGTGTCTGCATCAGCAATCCTTTTGTCATTTAAAGCACAGTGCTTAGATACATTTTAAAAATCGCAGGTCCTTCCAGAACTGTACTGAGATGCTTCATACTGTAGCTGTATTTGTCTCTGTGACATCACTGAACAGAGGTCATCTTATCCTTCCTTAGAGGGAGACTATGCTGTATTTCATTTGTTGTAATGTGTACCTGAAAGTGATTTTATTGTATTGTGTATATACTTTCTGGTAATCATTTTATTTCAATTGTCGATGTCTAGATTCTCCTCTATTGGCTGCCTTTATATCAGGCAGTATAGTCAACAACCATGCTAAACCACCACCACCATTAGGGGAGAATCTGGTGTGAGAGGACTGATATCTTCACACTGAGCTAGAGAGATTAACAATATAATCAGCAATTATGACCACCCCCCTGTAGATATAGATTTCCACATGATGCCTAGGATCAAAGAGACTGGATTGTGTTTAATTGTGAAATAGCGCTCCTATACCTGTCTATTATATCGCACACTGTGCATTCTCTCCACTTGTGTGTTGAAACCAGTATTTCCATATTATGGAGTTGAGGTTCTAGAACAAATCATTGAGTCAATGCAAATAGACTGTACAGAGTAGACTGATGCCGATGCGGTAAGCACCTTTCTTGAAGCTTTAAATACATTGGATTATTGCTGCTTGAGAATCCCCTGTTGCTTTCTATAGAATAAAGAGCACTTAGGTTTGTGATGTGGGTGGGCTGATCTCATAGTATTGGGTGTCCTGTGTAACAAGCAGGCAGCAACTACTTTTAATAGAGAATCAAAGGTTTCACTGGACTGCCAAGGTAACTGCAGTGCAAATGTATTCAATTTGTTCTGTCTATATTTCCTGGTTATACTGTTACAATGAATGATAGGTTATTAATACTGTCTCTCCTCTCCGGTACCATTGGCAGAGAGGATAAACGTTTCCACTTCAACAAACCCCGTCACATTCCTTCTCCGCTGACTGTGGAAATGAAGCCTGCTGGCCAGGCGCCACCATTTTCCATACGCTGCTTCTTAATCGCTTTCCTCTGCTTGTCCCTGCTTTTGCTAAGACGTAATGAAATGATACATTTTCCTCATTTACGATATTATTGGATGTAATATCATGCCGGGGGTAATGGGAGTTTCGGGAATCTTGGCTCTTTGGGCGTGCTGTAGTAGTCTACTAGCAGAGTTCCGCATCAGACTTGAGCCAAGGGCTGGCGAGGTCAAGAGGTGGCTTCCATTTGTAACTTGGATTTCATCAGCCTTAAAAACAAATCACTAGAGGTTCCTAGTGGATGGACGGGGATTTCAGCATCTAGGGTTAGGTGTCTATAGGCCCCAGATTTATGAATAAAGCCTTGTGCACTGTGCTCTGTTTTCAGAGCATGGCCTTTCTTTGGCACTCTTATTGATGCTGACATCCAAAACGGGTCTGAAGGTTAATCCACCTCTGTAAGCACCCCCTTCTTATTTCTTTATTGCCAAAGGCATTAGTTCAGTTGTCAATATAGTGATGTATCTAGGGTTCATTTTTAGATATTTCCACGATCATCCATTTAGCTTTATATTTGGACTAGAGCACAACATTTCCTGAAGTCAGATGCATTTAAGGTAAGCACTGTCAGCTTTCTTCTGTAGCTTCTTAAACTTGATTGGAAACTCACCAACCTATAATGGCCGTCATTTGGAGTGCCCAATAGCCCGTCTGTGACATACCTGTTCATCCCTCAGGTAAACATATTACTGAAATCACAATTTTATGAAGGTGGTATGATACAATGGTAGAACCATTCAACACTTATCAGTAAATGAAATGGACTCCGTTTTGGTGTATTTTTCCCAAAAACCGAGTTATGTTAAATTACTAAATTAGTCATTTGCTCTCCACATCTCCATGACACTGCAGCTTGTGCAATATGGAGAATATCAATTATCAGTTCAGAGGAAAAGCTGGCAAGGCAGACCATGCGTTTTGAAGTGGGCATTTAAACAAATATTGAGCATTTAAAAATAAATGGCAATCTTTTCATCCGGTCATTACGGAAAAGAAAACGTAGCCTTGTGTTGTGGTATTCTAGAGTACTAACATGGACTGCACTAGAGTAAACTACGAAGTGCTCAGGAGGTTTATAATACAGTATATACCTCTGCTTTTTGTTGTATTAATACCTGTACCGAGGTACATGTAGGCGTCATTTAAAGACCTCAGCACAGGCTCGGCCCTTGGTCGAGGGGGACTGGCGAGGAAACTGGCGACCATTGTGCCATGGCGCTGATCACCTTGTAAATACTGCGGTTTTTAAATGACCTAAAACTCTATGCTAAATGCTGTAAAGAAATGGAAACCGAAAAAAGAGAACTTTAATTATTTTATGTTAATGTGTAATTATGTATAAAGTTATAACTGTACAAGTCATGATTGTTTTCGTAATATGCAAGTTTTCTTTGTAACTAGCTTTAATTTATCTTTTTTTTCTTAGTTATTTGCTGTATAAAAGAAAAAAACATTTTCTCTAAATAAATTCCTTTATCTAGAAAGTGATGTCTTGTTATTGTCGGTCGGTGTGTGTGTGTGTGTATATGTCTAGAGAGAGAGAGACACACACAAAATGGAAAGTGTTCCCTGCACATGTGAATGGAGCCAGACCTGGGTGCTTGCTTAAACAAAACTTATCATATGCAGGAAGTTCTAAGGCAGAGGTGGCCAACGTTGGCCCTCCAGCTGTGCCTTAAAGAAAGGGTGTACCGATACTAGTATTCATACTCGCCAAATGCTCTGATACTTATCCTGATCGGGAAACTCCAGGTCAGAGGGAGATTTCCATTGACCAGCAGTGCCACGAGGGAACACAGAGCTGCCGCCCAGCTTCCTGATTGGCTGGAAAGACAGCTCCATGCTGATTGGCTGGGAAGCCAGCTTTCCAGCCAATCGGCATGGAGCCGGCCATCAGCCGGCTCAATGCTAATTGTCTGGGAAGCCGGTTTCCCAGCCGATTGGCATGGAGTCGGCTTCCCAGGCAATCAAGAATCCGGGTAGCGGGTAATGACATGCTGCCCTGTTTCCTGATTGCCTGGGAAGCTGCCTCCATGCTACCAGAAGTACTGGTATAAATATCGGTACTCATACTTGATACCGGAAAACTGGTATTGGTGCATCTCTAACTTAAAGTAGTATTAAGGTTTGAGTGTTTTTCTACCTTTAATACATTCTCTGCATTAAGGTAAAAACATCTAGTACCTTTTGGACTCCCCCACCCCACCACACACTTACCTGTCAGCGCTTCATGTCACCGCCGCCAGTCCCCACAGCGATCCGCCATCCCACTTCCTGGTTCTGGGGGAGGCAATTGATGGCTCCGTCTGCCATCAATCAACCTGTTGGACAGAGAGGAGTGGCGTGACCACTAAAGGGCTGTGTGTTTCTATGGACGCACATAGCCACTGCGGAACATGCACGGGTGCCTCTATAGCAGCTACTTAGCTGCTAGAGGCACCTGTGCAGTGGGCGGGGGAAACACTGATGCGGGGACCCACTAGAAAACAAGGAATGTAAAAATAAAGCAAATAGATCTGGACACTATCTGTGCCTCCCTTATATACAAAGAAAAGGAGGGTTTAATGTCACTTTAACTACAAACCCCAACATGTCTCTGAGAATTGTGCTTGTAACTGTGAGTCTTGCGATACCTTATAGGACCTGTAGTTGCACAACAGCGGGAGGGCCAGAGTTGCCCACCGGGTTCTAAGGAGCAGTAATGGTAAAGCAGGACTTTATTTACATGACCGACATTTCAGAGGGACCCAGCCTACCTGGTGACATGACATATACCATACCATACCCACATTACAAACCATACCACCATCACAAAGAGTGAATGATGTAAGGCAAGCCTCTGGAAAACCCAATGCAGCATTGCTATCAGTAACAACCTCATGCATAGTAGCCAAAAACCATCTTCTGTGTGCCCCATTGATCTGGCTTCACTGTACTAGTAGATTGGGCTGGGCTTGGCCCAGAAGGAAGTCACTTACCTGTGCCACGTCCAGCAGGCGCTTGGTACTTGCAGAGTTTTACAAGTTTAAATGGCTGACTAGTTCACTTTCATGAAAGGGAACCTGACTGAGAAATATGGAGGTTGCCATGTCTGACTTTATGAAAACACTGGCTGCCTCTGGCGTCAATACTTTCTGATTCATTGACCTGCAACAAGCATGCAGATCAGCAAAGTCAGAGCTCCTGAACTGCAGTCACTGACTGAGACTCATTCTGGTTACTTCCGAGGAGCAGGTTTCCTTTTAAATCGAAGTCACAGGAAGGGCATTGTCTATTGGTCATACCTGACTGGCAGGCTTGCATTGAGGTAGAGGAGCACTAAAGCACAACTGCTGTGCAACACTTAGCAGAAAGTAGTGATATGTTAAACATATTACAGACACTGACTTTTTTTTATGAAGCCGATCACTTAAAAAAAGCAGCTTTGAGAAAAACCCAAAAGGCCACAGGTATTATTTAAACATAATTTGCATTTCTATTTCCCTTACTGAAGTCTGGCAGTGAAGAGGTTCCCAGTAGCCCGAAGACATTGCACAGGACAGCTCTATTCTCCGTTGCTTTTCACATGGTAATTACACACGCAGCTTCCTCCAGACAAATCCTATTGCAGGAATCACTTCACGCTGTGTATACAATGTGACACCACTATGCTGGATATGGCAGAATAATGTTCTACTGAGGGAACTGTCATTAAATGTCCTCCTCTGCCTAGCAGGAGCCCCGTCTGGCTTCATCACATACAGAAACAGTAAGTGAAATTGAAGTGGCCATCAGATCATTAATCCAGCAGTCATCAGATTCAGAAGATAACTGTCTATAGCCAGGAAGACGAGCAATTCGGGGTTTGTGCTTCTTGTCATCACATCCAAAATGTAGCTTCAGCCAGGTTGCATCATACAATAAACCAGAGGTAGGAGACCTACAATTCAGGACCTTGTCAACGTTTGAGATTCCCATGTTATTGGATATGAAAGCTTCTGCTGAGTTATAATGTGGACTACGTATACTGGGCATCATTGAACATGCATGTCACCTCTATGATCAATTACATAGTTACATAAGGATGCACCGATACCAAGTACAGTACTCGGTACAAGTACAAGTACAGATACTTTGGAGCTCCAAGACTAAACTAGAGAAAAATTCAAAAATTAGGAGGCAGCTGTCATTTGTAAGGAGCACACGGAGCTCCTGGGATTTGTACATCTCTGTTTTAATGTATGATTTTGTTTTTATAAATATAGGGATGCACAGATACCAGTTTTGCGAGTACTGGTACTTGCCGAGTACTTACAAGTACGAGAACTGATACTTTTTTGTTTATAGTCATGTGACAGTTATCTAAAACAATACAGACTAATGATTTCAGGACAGTGGTGGAGCGCCAGAGCCCGGTCCCAGCTGCAACCGCCGAAACCTTGGTAGTTCTCATGAAAATACCAAGTATCTGCACTGGTATCTGAAAAGTATCGGTGCAACCCTAGTTTGTAAGGTTGAAAAAAGACCAAGGTCTATCCAGTCCAGTGTGAGTGTGTGTATTTTGTTCTGGCTTTACAACTTCCCATATCCCTGTAGATTCTGCGAGAGAAGAATGTTTCTTGAATGTATCAATGTTATCCGTAGATACCACCGTCTGGTAGAGAATTCCAAACTTTCACTACTCTCACAGTGAAATATCCCTTTTAGATTGTAAGCCCTCAGGGACAGGGCCCTCCTTACCATCTTGTCTTGAATTGTATTGTGATTGTAATGTCTTCCTTATATTGTAAAGCTCTGCGCAAACTGTATAAATCCTGTATAATAATCCCTTGCGAATTCTACGATTGAACCCCTTCTCTTCTAACCTCTTGTTGTGTCCCCGGGTTCTCAATTCAGTTTTAGGATTAAACAGTTTATTCCTAATATTGGGGTCCCCAATAATTGTGCCTCAAGGTGACAATAAAGTGGAACTCTGCCTTTTGTCACCATATTGACAGATTCAGTATTAGAAGGAAGGAAGCCAAATGATACAAATAAAGGAGTGCCATTAAACCCATTGTAACCACTTCATAGGGATCATCTGCTAATCTAACAAAGGAAGGAACAATCTATAGCACACATGAAAAAAATGTCCCCAAATACCTGTTTTTTTTGCTACCATACACCACGGTCATGTGACATAGTCTACTTGCTGTGAGATTGGGGGGTGGAGGTGGCAGGAAACCACTGATGAAGCCTGCAGGAAGTTTATTGTGTTTTGTGTGGCTGCACAAAGATTATTGGCGCTGTTGTGGTCATGAGTTTCAAAAAGGGAACAGATGTCAACCTGCTTGAGCTGGCGAAAGGTTATGTGGGGTGGCTTTCCTGAGGAGACAGATGGAAGTATTGGCTCAGGGAACTTGTTGGAACGTACAACATTACAGCCAGAGGATCAGCACTGAATTGTTGTCTCTGACAATGGGGAAGTCAATGGAAATGGCAGGCTCAGCCAGGTATTTACTAATAATGAAACCATGTGGGGGAAAGCTTCTACATCATGTTACAGAACATGCCTTTAATATTGGACAGGAAGAACATGTTTGGGTGTAATTTTTGGACAGTTTTACGCAGTTATAACATTTAGTAAAAATACCACCTGTGCAGGCGGATGCTCATAATCGTGACTAATAGACCAGGTTGAAGGTCACTGAGAACGCTGCTCAAAAAGTATATCAGCTCTGACAGGGGGGCATGAGTGATCACCAGTGTACAGTTTCACAAGGACGGAAGAGCCTTTGAAAGTCCAAATAGCCATCACTTTACACAGCAGAAAGTTCCTTTTCACAGGGGAGTAAAATGTGCTGCCTACGAAAGCCACTGCTACTTCTAATCCCATTGCTGTTGACAAGTATATTGCCGAGTAATGCGCTGCCTGACCTCTGAGCAGCCAAACAGTTTATATGGTTGCCTATAGCTGAGGATATATATAGAGAGAGCTATACATAGTTTCTGAATGACTTTAAGCTGTGTTAAACTGGCCATACACCTGTAGGTTATCTGCAGATTTTCTATGTTCAGATGGGAAAAGTGCAACAGATTCTCCCACTGGGCCAAGCTTCAGAATCTTGCTAATCCGCCCCGCTGGCTCTCAAATTACCTGAACAATGCCGGCATCCAATCAGATTGTTCAGGTATTTTGAGAGCCAGAGGGGCCGACTAGCAAGATACTGAAGCTTGGCCCAGGGGGGGATTCCTCCATCCACACAGTTTAGTGTAGATGGAGGACGCAAAGAAAATCGGCTGATCTATAGGTGTATGGCCAGCTTTACAGATCTCTTCTCCGTGGCCTTCTATAGCTGTTCCTGGGATGTCAGACTAGGTACAAACTGCTCTCAGACTTCTCTGTGTAGCTACAAAAGCATGCACACCTGGTTTAGCCAAGCATGCATGTTTATGCCATGAAGGGGAAGCCAAAGCCACACAACTGCACATTTCCTTGAGATCTGACAGCCGATGATTACTATACTAAATATAGTATTACATCAATTATACATCATTTAAATGAAAGCAGAGCTACGTACATGTTTCTTTTTTTTCCGTTTTTGATAGAGACGGTAAGGGTTAGAACCCCAAGTTCTTATTGCTGGCCGTACCCCATTTGGGGTGATTTTCCCCCTGTTCCTGCCCTGCTGAAACAACAGAAAATCTTGAAGTCTCACCATTAGGAACACAAAGCAACAAAACCTGAAAGAGGTTCTATCCCTTCCCCACTTCACAAGCAGAAGCACTTTTACCCACTTGTCCCCTCTCCTGGCTTCCTGCACCAGTAACACAACAGGTTATAACTATTCCCATTCTATCCAAAGCCTTCAAAATAAAAAAGAAACAGTTCTACTTTAATACAATGTTCACATTTTATGTTTGTTAACACTTTTTACACACACACACACACACACACACACACACACACACACACACACACACACACACACACCACTCAACAAAACTACGTACATGTTTCTTTTTTTTCCGTTTTTGATAGAGACGGTAAGGGTTAGAACCCCAAGTTCTTATTGCTGGCCGTACCCCATTTGGGGTGATTTTCCCCCTGTTCCTGCCCTGCTGAAACAACAGAAAATCTTGAAGTCTCACCATTAGGAACACAAAGCAACAAAACCTGAAAGAGGTTCTATCCCTTCCCCACTTCACAAGCAGAAGCACTTTTACCCACTTGTCCCCTCTCCTGGCTTCCTGCACCAGTAACACAACAGGTTATAACTATTCCCATTCTATCCAAAGCCTTCAAAATAAAAAAGAAACAGTTCTACTTTAATACAATGTTCACATTTTATGTTTTTTAACACTTTTTACACACACACACACACACACACACACACACACACACACACACACACACACACACACACCTCAACAAAATTAAAGGAACACTTTTTAATCAGAGTATAGCATGAAGTCAATGAAACTCCTGGGATATTGATCAGTTAAGTAGCAATGGGGGGGCAGGGGGGGTTGTTAATCAGTTTCAGCTGCTTTGGTGTTAATGAAATTTGGTGCACTAGATGGGCAACAATGAGACAACCTCCAAAACAGGAATAGTTTTACAGGTGGAGGCCACTGACATTTTGTTCCCTACTTATTTTTTCTGACTATTTTTCACTAGTGTTGCATTTGGCTAGAGTCAGTGTCACTACTGGTAGTATGAGGCGATACCTGGACCTTATAGAGGTTGCACAGGTATGCCAACTCCTCCCCCACACCGCTGCCTTGGCCTTCTGTGACAGCTGTCTCCACCCATACAACGCTCTCCATCCTGATTTGTCACAGGAGGCTGAGCGGGGTGGTGCTGGAGGAGAGCTCAGCCTCCTTTGATATTGCAGCTCACAACACTCTCCTCCCTGCACCACTCGGCCTCCTCTGCCAGTTTCTCTCCTCCCCGTTGGGCACTGCGCTGCGTCTGAAGGGACAAAGAACAGCGCACATTGGGGAAGAGAGAAACTAGGGCCGCACCGCAATTTAAGCAGAAAGATGGCACTTTCAGCATTTTGCCCAAAGTGCCATTTTCGGCCGCCGAAATTTCAGTGCATCCGTAATATATATATATATACACTAAGTGACCAGATTATTATGACCACCCCATCAGTACTTTGTTGGGCCAGGCGATAACTTCGTTAGGCCGCCTCGTGACTCCACGAGATGTTGAAAGGTGATGCGAGGAATCCGACACTGCACTGTTGCCCTTCTGTTGTCTTGTACCAGTCTTGCCACTCTCCGTTCTGCCCTAACATTGACTAGTCGCTGGCGGCCACAATTCGCACGTTCAGACCCAGATTTTCGTCTGACAGTCCAGTCTTTAAACACTTTAACAACAGCTGCTCTTGAACATTTAACGGATTCTGCTGTTTTGCTGATACTCGCTCCATGGCTCCGAGCGCCAACAATCATCCCACGTTCAAAGGTTTTTAAATCGCGTTGTTTCCCCGTATCTTCAGAGAAAATCACTTCTACTGTCATGGTAAACAACCTGCTTCCCTGTTTATAATGGCTAATTTGCCTATTGTTGAATAATGCCTGTTTTCAGAGTTCACAATCAAAAATTTTAATTTACAAGCACGAGCGAATGAGTCAGAGCAGTGGCACATCCCTTACCAGAGGTATAAGAAACAGCATGCCTGAAAGGGAAATAGGGAATGCACTCTCTCTCTGTACTTAAATCACAGTACTCTGGGAATCCTTTATCATGTATCAAATATTGATTAATAAATCAAAGAAGGAATATACTGTATATATCAAAACCAGAATAGTTTTTCTTCTATAAAATCAAGCTCGGGTTTGTGATCTTACAGACTATCTATATTGGTAATGCCAGTACACCCCTGACAAAAGGATGTTCTCATCCTTGAACTGGAGCCAGTTTGATAATTAAACTCAAAGACATGAAAGCGATAAAATATGACTGGCTCCAAGTTCTCCTTCTACGTGACCACATTACATCTCCAGCAGATTCCTCTATTAGTTCTTTATTTCTATTACCACGCACGCAAAACAACTCATTCACCTTTCAGCATTACTTATACGATCTACAATATCTGCCAAGTTAGATTTCCTTTTATCACATATTATTTATAAAATAGACAGCCTTTTAGATATATGATTTTCAGTGAGATCCACAGAGAATACAGGTCTCTAGTTCGGTAATTGTTTGATTGGTGAGGACGTCATGATCCAGAAGCCACTTGCCTTATAATAAGCTTCAACCAATGGGAATACTAGTGATGTGAATTTAAAATCAGTGACAGTTATGTGATTAAAGCTACAAAGAGCTCTCGTCTAACAGAAATACAGGACACTAATAAACTCAGCAGTGTTCAAATCAGTGAAAATAAAAATAAAGCCATTTGTCTACTTTTCCTGCAATGGGTGAGCATTTAATGATCCATAGCCTGACCCCCACAAATACTGTGCCCACCCCTCCATTATATCATGCTGACTGCATAGCTTATATAGCAGTGCAGAACTTTCACTGACAGCCTTTGGAAACCTATTTAAACCAAAACAATAAAACACACATCCGGCCATCTCTTGCTTAACAGTTCCTGTAGACGATGTGCCTACTTTAAGGATCACTTGGGCAAGAGGTTAGAAGCCCTCATTAAGGCCTTGATTGCCTTTCCTGTTACTCCAAAGGCATTTGTTAGACCTTATCCATATTATCCAAACCCATGGCTAGGCACCCTGGGAACATCTTGACAGACCCGGACATTCTTAAATTACTAGAACTTTTCCCTGTGCTATATTGTTGAGTGCATGGCAGATACCCTCTGACAAACCTCCAGGTGAGTATTCTGTGTTCCGATGTGTTAAATCCTGGTCTGCGGACGTTCTGAGCAAGAAGAGACTAGAGGGTATGCCCTTTACTGGGAAGCACCTTTTTTGGAAAATCTCTACATACATCAAGGAAGTCATGGGGAAGGGAGCTGGAGTGTCTTCTTATCTCAGAAGATGAGAACTCATGTAGGAAATCTTCTGCTTCTTCTAGTTACAAAGTCTAAACTTGGCGCCTAAGCCCACAAAATCTGGAAACAATCCCTCTGTACAATGAAAGCGCACCTACACTTTTAAAGTGGGGGGTGCATTTTTTGGCCGCCTTGGGCTCCCGGGCCGAGGACATTCCCCATGCCTAGGTTTAGAGGTTATGTCCAAGGGTTATAAGTTGATGTTTTGCTCCCCACCTCACTTCCTGTTGTAAAATTTGCCAAGGTATCCCCCAAAGGCAGATGGATTTCTTTGTTGCCCTAGATCAGCTCCTTTCTCAGGGTCAGAGTCCCCGTTGAGGAGGCAGAACGATTCCAGGGGTTATGTTCCAACCTGTTCACTGTCCCCAAAGCAAAGGGTGAGGTTCACCCTATACTCTGTCTAAAGTTTGCCAACAGATCCCTTCAGGTCCATCCCGGTCAGTAATTGCCTCCCTTTGCATGGGCAATTTTCTGGCCTTGGTGGACATTAATGATGCATATTTGCACATGCCCATTTTTCCTGTTAACCAATGCTACCTGCTTTATCTGTGGCCATGCAATGTTACCAATGTTCTGCTTTTCCACTTACCCTGTTCACAGAACCTCAGGTTTTTATCAATGTGCTGGTTCCTGTTTTGGCTCTGATCGATCCCAAGAGATGCCCATTGTTTGGTACTTGGACAACCTTCTCCTCAGAGAACTGTCAGTGTAAGCCTCATCATCCAGTATTTATCAGACAATACAAACCCTGCAGAGGTTTGGTTGGATCATGAATTTTCACAAGTTGATGCTGGAGCCCTCTCATCACTTAATCTACCTGGACCCTGTGGTCGAGCTGCCCAACTATTCACTATTGTATGAAGGTCCTGGGCTTAATGAGTTGGTGTGAACTGGGCCCATTAAAAACAGGGTATTTCAGCTCGTCATTGTATTGGCCCTGCGCTGTGCAAAACAGTTCAATGCAATAACTAGCCTTACAGTCTGATTGCTCAATCTCCATTAGATTTACCAACATCATGTACTGGGAGAGTCTGATGACTGGATAGGAATTTGATTATTTCGGCACCTGCAATCAATCATTTTTGGTAAATCTAATGGAGACTGAACCATGTACAGCCAGCTTAAACTTGCCATGTGACCACACAAAATTGCCTCTAAAATGCTATAGATACTAGAGCATTGATTCCACCCCTATGAAGAAGAAAAGGTAAGCTGGCTTTAGGATGCAACCTTGCTGCTTACTGCTAGAGGCTGCAGGTTACTGCAAGTAAACCAAAGCCACATTTTTCAGTGACAGCAACTGGAACCAGAACTAGTGTAACACTTCTTACTATTTTCATTAAAGAGAAAAACAATCAGCACTGTATCCATACCGAGTTTGTAAGTCATTAACTACACAAGCAACAGTTTGGACGTAGATGTAATATTTATTAGTTAGTGCAGTTTTAACAAAATGTACATTACCACTAGTAAGCCGACGTAATAAAAAGGACCACGCAGAACATCACTGGTTGGTCTTTTATGTTCTGTGTAAACTTGCACACCATTCATCTGAGTCAGGATTATATTTCGTTTTCTTTTGTGCTGTCTTATTGGCATCAAAGTGTCATTTTATTCACTGATCCAGAAAACTAGCTTTCGGACACAAACAGAATGTCAAAGTCAATGCAGCTGTGAAGAAGGTGATGGAGGGTTGTATAAAAAACAGTATTTCTCTATTAGGTACCCAACACCTACACACAGCAGAGGTCCTACAATGCGGGTATTATACAAGAGAATCTTACAGAAACTTTGTGCATTGTGTCTCAGTGATGTATCTGGTTCCTTCAGTAACAAAAGGCTGTAAATGATATAGGCACTGAGTGTGTCTGTAAGTAACATGTGCTTTACACACAGAGACGACTTGGAAGCATCTCACACAAGTGTGGAGAATCAAAGAAAAGGACGGACGCACACATCCTTACCTTGTGTTGTACTTGGACATTAACTGTGCATAAGGCCCTTGGACGACTGTTTTGTATTATTTAAGTTATTTCTAAGATATGGCTATCACTGGCCAAACGTTACAAAACAGGTCATCTACCACCAGAAAGGAGACGTCCTATCTGCAGGTGCATGGGTAGCCTTATTTCTCTGTCAAATAGCCAATGAAGTGTGAAGTTAACTAAACCTATCTATTTCCCCAAAGCAGTTCATTGGTGGTACCGATTTGTGTATTTTTAGGGCACGCTCTCTTGGTCCAAAACAATTATTCTCAGAATGTTAGAAGTGCCGATTTGCATAGGGAATTTTATTTAAAGAAGTTGACAGTGAGGCTTCATAAGCATCCCCTTCCATGCCTTTTTATTCATAACATTGCTCCTTCGCCATGACCTCAATGTTACTGCTGAGTGGCAGACCATAGATCATAAGACATAACAGCTCATACCTGCAGTTTTCGCCTTCGGGAACTAGTTGGTCTCACTCAAAGGAAGCCAAACAATGCCCCAAGCAAGATTGAGGGCCCCAAAAGGGGAAGTTATTGTGTCTTAGGGGACAAACTGGATAAACAATTTTAAAGAAGCACAATGCCCAGGTGAGCTCAGGATAGCTTAGTTATAGGATATGTGAATTTTTTTTAAAGGAAACCAGTCATGAGAGAAAACATGAAGAGCGGCATAGGGGAAGGGCTTACCTCCCGAATATGCAGATAATTACTTCTGGCTTTTCTGCAACTATCCTGATCTGCATTTGTATTCCAGGTCAGTATGTCAGCATAACATCCAAGCAATTAGTATCTTCAGAAGGTCAGCAGTGGCAGCCCGTATTTCTCTCATGACAGTTGCACTTTAAGAACAAGGGCATAGGTTATCTTATGTCTCAAGATACATTTTTTTATCAAATCATAACTAACATTTCTGTTTTGTTGTACTTCTTTAAAGTATTACATTTGCCAATGTTGTAAATAGAATTTATTACCAGTCTTGATCCTTTAGGTCTGTACAGTATCCATTGTGCCCAGTGGGGAAACTGGTTGCCATGGTCAGTCTACAGGCACGGCACACAGAATGCTCTGTCCATACAAGCATTCTGCCAAGCATGCAAAATATTGATGAAAAGTGTATCTACCTCAACGGGCTGCATAGACAAGACAGGTAATTAACACTACCGGTATATACTCTACATTGTTTATTAATGTAGCTTAGACTCTTTAATGTGTTAAATGGTGGGGGTTGGAAAGCACTGGAACAAATGTAGAGAAGTGGAAGCTTTAGAAGTAGGAGAATCGTCCTTCAAAAATGAATATGTACAATGTTTAGCAGAGCCTTCGATGTGCAGATAAGACTAATGTAAATATTTTTCTATGCAGATATAAAGACCTCTGCAATCACGCATCAGTAATAATGTGACTCCTTGATCTGCAGAGTAACACATCCACACAGCAGCAACCTCTACTCATCAGTACTATGGAGAACTACACAAAGCTGTTCAACATACACACAGAACACATCTGCTAGTCCTGTGAGCTCTTATTTTGCCGCTCAAGTTGCAGAAACATAAGATTGTCTCAAACCCCAGCAGGCTTTTTCATAGTCATGACAATGGCGCTCTGTATCTTGAAATGGAGACGTTGAATGCAGCATTCAGAGCCATGGACACATCTGTGAGGAAGAGAAAAATGTTTAAAACATTTATTGTTGTGTTCTCAGTGTGGTTAGCACATCTGCCCAACAAATACATGTTATGACGTAAAATTCATTTCATGCACAGCCAGACCTTCTGGGCCAAAACCAAACCATACTACTACAAAAGCATGTTAAGACCAAAAAAGCTGTTACAAATTAAGAGGATGCGTGTTTGTTAGAAGACAGCTGTCACAAGAAATTCAAGAAGGCAGTAAGTGGGAAAAAGCTTAACCTTGGATTTTATTGCATGAACTAGAGTAACTGATAAAATATTCCAATGACAGGCTGAGGGGTAACTGGCTGCCGGTGCTCCATTATTTTACTTCTTGTATTGTAGGCTTTTAATGCTTGTATTAGAACGTTTTTTTTTTGGAAGTGGGGCATTATGCTATGCTGTACGTTGCTATCACATGCAGTAGAATACAACCCCAATTCCAAAAATGTTGGCACGCTGTTTAAAATCTACATACAAACGGAATGCAATGATGTGCAAATCTCATACACCCATATTTTATTCACAATAGAAAATGTATCAAAATGTTTAAACTGAGAAAATGTTAAATTTTAAGAAAAATTAAAGGTAATTTAAATTTTGAAACTGATGGTAGCAACACTTCTCAAAAAATGTGGGGCCATGTCTACCACGGTGTAGCGTCCCCTTCTTTTAACAACACTCTGTAAACATCTGGTGACTGGGGAGACCAGTTGCTGGAGTTTAGGGCTGCAACAACTAATCGACATAATCGATTATTGAAAAAGTTGTCAACTTTTTCAATCGATTAATCGACTTCAAATTAGTTGGCCCTGTTCACGGCTCCACACACACTAAGCCTGCACTTTCCAACACATGGTGCTCTATAATGTATTGCTGGGATTTGTATTCCTCTATAGCTGATGGTACTTTGTGCTGTATATTATACAGAGGAATACAAATCTCAGCAATACATTACACACTGTATGTATAATGTATTGCTGGGATTTGTTGTATCCCTATATAGCTGGTGGTATTCTGCATTGCGCTGTATAGAGGACTACAAATCCCAGCAATAATACAATATACAGCACAATGCAGAATACCACCAGCTATAATGTACTATTGCTGGGATTTGTTGTATTCCTCTACAGCTGGTGGTATTCTGCATTAATTGCTGTTTAATTTTACACTTTTCATTTCACTATATTCCACACCACAGTTTTTTTTTTGTTTTTTTACTTCCACCGCTCCGAGTTTGCTCCTGTGAGATGGACTACAATCTCAATACAAACTAGTAGTCCATCACTGGAGCCATTTGTTAAAATGTATTTTATTTTTTATCCGATTAACCGATCTTAATAATCGGCTAACTAATCGATTTTGAAAATAATCGTTAGCTGCAGCTCTACTGTAATTTGGGAGAAGAATGTTGTCCAATTTTTGCCTGATATAGGATTCTAACTGCTCAGCAGTCCTGGGTCTTCTTTGTCGTATTTTTTGTTTCAAGATGCGCCAAATATTTTCAGTTGGTGAAAGGTCTGGACTGCAGGCAGGCCAGTTTACCACCCGGACTATTCTATTTTGAAGTCATGCCATTGTCATAGATGCAGTATGGGGTTTAGCATTGTCCTGCTGAAATATACAAGGCCCTTCCTGAAAAAGACGTTGTCTGGATGGGAGCATATGTTGCTCTAAAACATAAATATATCTTTCAGCAATGATGGGGCCTTTCCTGATGTGCAAGCTGCCCATTTCATACGCATTAATGTACCCCCATACCATCAGAGATGCAGGCTTTTGAACTGAGCGCAGATAACAAGCCAGAAGGTCCCTATACCCTGTAGTCCGGAGGACATGACACCCATGGTTGCCAAGAAGAATGTCAAATTTCGAGTCGTCTGACCAAAAAACAGTTTTCCACTTTGCAAATTACTATTTTAAATGAGCTTTGGCCCAGAGAAGACAGCGGCGTTTCTGGATCATATTCAGATATGCCTTTTTCTTTGCATGATAGAGCTTTAACATTTTTGGATGGCACTGCAAACTGTGTTCACAGACAGTGATTTTTGGAAGTATTTCTGAGCCCATGCAGTGGGATGTCCATTAGAGTCATGCCAGTTATTAATGCAGTGCCGTCAAAGGGCCCGAAAATCATGGCATCCAATATCGTCATTCAGCCTTCTCCCCCGTGCACAGAGATTACTACAGATTCGCTGAGTATTTTGTTATTATGTACTGTAGATGATGATATGTATAAAGTCTTTGCAATTTTAAATTGAGGAGCATTATTCTGAAACTTCCACAATTTTTAGATGCAACCTTTTACAGTTTGGTGACCCTCTACCCATCTTTACTTCTGAGACACACTGACTCTCTAAGATGCTCTTCTTATACCCAGTCATGTTGTAACTTAATCAGTTGCAAAATGTTCTCAATCTCTTCCTTGTTAGTACCACTTACATTGCTAGGTTTTTGTTGCCCTGTCCCAACTTTTTTGAGACATGTTGTTGGCATCAATTTCAAAATGACCTTTTTTCTAAAATGGTCCATTTTCTCAGTTTAAACATTTGATATGTTTTCTATTGTAAATAAAATATGGGTTTATGAGATTTGCAGATCATTGTATTCGGTTTTCATGTAGATTTTACAAAGCGTCCCAAATTTTTTGGAATTGCGGTTGCAGTTACCTAGAGATGCCCGAGTCCCGCTGCTTCCGAACCACTAGGCCAATTTGATCAGATCAAGCTCCTAAACTTACTAGTAGGTCCAGCAATTGCTGTTAATAATTAAAACGGTGTCATCTCTTGTCTAAGGAAAT